TTCCTGTAACATTTTAATTATTTTGTTTAGCCTATTCAGCTCAATACAATATAACTTCAAGGTTTTCAGTTTTTGGATCAAATTGCATTCAGACCTTTAAGTAAGTTATTAAATTTATTAAGATTATTTATTTAAAAAAGGGACCTCCTTGTTGCGTTATTCTTGTAAAAAAAAACCAGTATTGCAGAACAAATAGATATGTACCGATTTTCTTGAAACAAAATTGGATAAAAATCTAAACCTTTACAAGTTACGTCGTATTGTTACGTTTTAATTGATAATCTGTAATATAAAGGTATGGAATATTTTAATTAAGACATGTTACTGTTATCGAAATCTCTTTATTTTTGTATTTAGTTTTACAAAATGAAAGATATTTTAGCGAATTTATTGTGTAACTTTCGCTGAAATACAAGTAATAATCAAAGTCAAAGTCAAAATAATCTTTATTCAAATAGACTTCTTAAAAGTACTTTTGAATCGTCCAACATTTTTTTCCCTACCACTAGTTCAGGATGTCTTTTGGCTGATAAGAAGAACGAGCAAGAAACTCACCAGCTCTAATAAGAGTAATGACATTTACAAAAACCATGTCATTACCAGATCAAAACATTATAAACAGAGAGAGAAAAAAAAAACTATGGTCTTATAATGATAACATAATCATTTAATAATAATGAAAACAAGATATAATGAGTTTAGAAGTAATCACCTATTCAGTTGCTGGATCATCTCAAGTCCAAGCGTTCTTATCTGTTATATAATCGGATACTTTATAATAAGCTTTTTAATAAGTATTATTTCTATAGTAGATTTAAACTGCATAATATCTAATTGTTTTATTTTACTTGGGACCTTATTGTAGAAGCGCACACAAAGACCCTTGAATGAGTTATTAACTTTTTGCAGTCTAGTGACAGGCACCGTTAATTTATTTTTATTTCTTGTATTAAAATTCTGTACATCACTTTTATACTCACTCACTTTTATGTATATTTTTTTAAATATCTCCCTTAAAAAGTCCCTAATCCTTAGATTATAAATTGATCTAATTGCTCTTTTCTGAAGCACAAAAATTATTTGTATGACGGCAGCATTTCCCCACAATGGGATTCCGTACGACATTGCACTATGAAAGTAACTGAAGTATACTAATCTGGCAGTATCTATGTCAGTTAACCTACGTATTTTCATTACGGCATATGCTGCAGAGCTAAGTCTACTCGACAATTTATCAATATATGGCACCCACTGTAGTTTCGAATCTAATGTTATTCCTAAAAATACTGTGGTATCCACAAGGCCCATGTTCTTATCTTTTATATTAACATTTATATCTACTTTTTAACATTAGGTAGTACACATTTTAGGCATTTTGTTTTTCCTTCACTAAGAAGAAGATTATTTACATTAAACCAATGTACTACTTTAGCGATAGAATTGTTCACATCGTCATTTAGAGGTAACCCTCTTTTAATTTTAAACAAAAGTGAAGTGTCATCTGCAAAGAAAACTATTTCGTGATCATCCCTTACGAAATAAGGCAAGTCATTTATATAAATCAAAAACAAGAAAGGACCAAGTATTGAGCCCTGCGGAACACCCATCTTAACTTTCAACCCAGGGGATCTTTTGCCATTGGTATCAACCCTTTGTACTCTGTCAGTCAAGTACGAGACAATAAAACCCAATGAGTTATCTCTAAATCCATAAAAATGAAGTTTACTAATCAATGTTTAAAGAAAAACATAATGATAGGTCACAAAAAACACCTAACGCATCATGTGAATCCTCCCAGGCATTAAAAATTTCTTGTATTAACTCGACACCGGCTTTGGTTTTTGAGCGACCCCTTGTAATACCAAATTGTTGTCGATTCATAAGCTTATTCATGTAAAAGTATGTTTGTATTTTATCCAGCATGATTTTTTCAAAAATCTTACTAAATGTAGGTAGCACGGATATAGGTCTAAAGTTAGTTGGGTCAGATGTGCTACCCGATTTATGTAAAGGAATAATTTTGCTATAATTCATGAGCTCAGGAATAATACCACAATCAGTACATTAATTAAATATATAAGCTAGGATTGGAGCTTTGCCTCAATTACCGATTTAGAAACTTCAATGGAATTATCCCATAAATCAGCGGTTTTCTTTTTCTTTAGCTGATGAAAAGATTTTGATTAATAGATCGTTAAATTCAATGTGTTGAAACTTAAATTGGCTATTACAATTATTTAAACTTGCCTTTAAAATAGATTCAGCGACATTGGAAGAGGAATTCAAAGATTGTATAATTAAGACTGGAATTTCAGTAAATAAATTGTCAATATTTTTATCATTTATAATGCAACATTGTAAGCTATTCGTTGTAAAAAAGTATTATTTTTTATCAAGAAAGTGTTAATTTGAGATAACCAACATTAGTACCAAACATTTTGTACTTCTATTATCAACTGTAACGGAACATCTCAAATTAACCAAGAAAAATAATTGTTTATTTCAGCAACAACGGTACAATCCTATGTAAACCATAGCCTGCGATTAATATTTTTACTACAATAATGAGCCACATAAAAATGTCCCGTTATAGCTGCAAAAATAAATCACTAAAAAAACAAAAAGCTGTCATTACTTTTTCAACAAAACCGTGACACCATGAGCTGTTACATTTTTGCCGCAATCAGGCACCAATTTCCTCCTCAAGCGAGCGGTGACAACTGACATGAACCGATCTTGCATTGAACTTAGGAGCGGAAAGAGATAGCGCTAAACCGATAGTCGCCATCCTTTTCCTTCATTACTCGGTCATTTTCGGCGCTAGAAATATCGCATTTTAGCAGCAAGTAGAGCGCGATGCGCCGAATGCTACTGTGTTATTATTCAATAACGATACATATTTGCGTTAACACGTTCTTGTCGCAAATGAGCGATATATTCTTAGTAGCATGAACAGCTTAATTTTAGTAAGTCCAATAATGTCAAGTAGTTACCGTTAATCTAAATTAATCTAAACTAAATAGTCTTTGTTGTTTGAAAAACAAAGGGTTTTCTTAGGTTTTACTAACGTTCTTTGTTAAATCAAATACGACAAACTTATTACTGTAACAATAAAAATCGTCTAATCTATTACTTTACCTATTTATTTTGATTAATTTGTTTAAATTGCTTCAACATACTTAGTCGTTAAATTTAACTATTAAAAATAATTGATTCACACAAAAAAAAATAATCAGGGTTACCAAATTTTTTATTTAACCATACTTTAACTAGTTGTTTCAATGTTTCAGCTTTGATTGATTTATGTAAATAAGTAATTGTTTTATTCAATATTATGTTAACCAAGAGAAAGTCACTAAAGAGTGACTTTCTCTTTTTTAGAGTGTAAACTCATTGAAAAGCTATAAAACGTTGCAAAAAATGTTTTTGCGTTTAGAAACAATATATAACGGTAATAAAATATAAAAAAAAACAAGCTTGAAAAATCCACTTTGTCCCATGACCTTTCGCAATATTATATTTTTCAATATAGCATTGTAAATGCAAAATTGATGAAATATAATAATTAGAACAAAAATTCCGTTTGTAAAAATATTTCTTTCGGCTGTTTGGGTGGGTTGTCGCTATATATAATACGCTAGTAACAAGTGCTTGAAAAATTCGTCACTCCTGTTAGATCCTGCGTAGATTAGTGGTTAGATCATTCGCCCAGATTGCGAAAGGTTATGGGTTCATGCGTTCGAGTCCCATCCCATCTCAAAGTGCCAGGGACAAAGTGGTTTTTTTAAGCATTTTTCATTAAGAATATCTTAGAGATAGCAGTGTGAATTCAAATTTGATCAAATATAATCATTACATTAATAGTTTAAATATTCGTAACATATTTCTTTCGGCTGTTTGGGTGGATTGCACTAAACATAACGCTGTGAATGAACGAAGTTGATATTTACATATCATTGAATGCTTTCCATTTTTTAAAGAAAATTTCTTAAGCTTTACATCTGTTCTGACCTTTGACCCAGGATCCTTGTTAGAGACATAATGTCGTTCTAATATTCTACTGCTCCTTTCTGTTACACTCTGTATATCCGAAATTTTGATATCTGCTTCTTTTAAAATAATTATATCATCTGCAGTGCTAAATATAACGTCAAACACAGCATTGTCGCAGAATGGAGACTCAGTTAAATGAAACCTATTTTAAAATATAATAAAGTTTTGATTTAATTGAATACCTTATACTTTGACAACGTAGATCCCAATTTCTAATTGTGAGTTTTAACACAAACTACAGCAAAATTCACTTAAGGCCAAATAACTTCTATAATACGATAAATGTTGTGTGGTATTGAAAAACTGTTAACCAAGGTGCTCTAATTAATCTTCACTTTGTTGATTAACGCATACACGCATGGCTATGTAAATTTTGAAAATATAGCCGGGCTAATTTACTGCACCATAAAGCTGCACAAATAGCGGAGTCCATTAGGTATTATCTACCCGTCTGTATATCACTCAAGTTGAATTTTGACATCTTGTCAACTATTAGAATGGAATTATAATAAAAATCATAAACATCATGCCTTTTCTAATGTCAAAACAATGTTTGATGTTAAATTACGTAATTTTAAATTGTTAAAGTGTGCTAAAAGATGAGATTTGGTTTTTAATATAAGCATACGATACAGGTTTAACAATTATCGATAGTTTTATGAACCAAATAAGAAATAGTAATTATAAGTGTTTTATGACTTTTCAATATAACCCAATTACATAAATCTTTCTGAAATAATATTAGTAACACTATTTAAATATAATTTTAGTTTCAAAATTAATGGTTAAAAGAACAAATTAAGAAAATTATTAAATAGTACATAAAAAGTGCATTAATTAAATCAATGGTAAAGAAATAAAATTTAATTAGTATCCTGAAGTGTTATAAACATAACACATGTTAAACTTATAAAAAACAAGAAAATAATATTTAAACGCATACTTACTTGAGTTTATGATTCTCATCAAAATATCTCACTAAAAAGACACCAGTACTATCGTATGTCACCTCTTTTCTAAAAGACATCCTTATCATATAGTTCTGCAAGTGTCTGCCCTTATAAGGTATTAGAGCCTCGTTTAAAAAAATATATAATTTCCCTAGCGATCTATCGTAAACGTAAGGTCGGGGACCATTCACTATGTTTCTATCTCCCTTGTAAACTTTTATAGATTCACCACTTATTGTCATATTTCTTGCATCTAATTCTATCATTCGTATATCAGGCGCATTAGCGATCACTGTTATCGTTATGTGACAATCGTAAAAAGCTCTATCGTCGTAAATATAGGGGCTTATAATAAGTTCGTATTGCACTGGATATATTGTGTAGTTGAGACATTCTTCGTCCACTACGAAAGTCCCTTGAGTTGTTGACGCGAAAAAAATAAACAAAAGCGCGCGAATCATTTTTTTAAGAAATTACATTTATTGTTTTTACTCCCGCCAAAAGCCAATGTCGGAGCGAATCAAAGCGTCCGCACGCAACGCGAGCGAAAACTCTTTTCTGCTTAGCCTCGATCCGAGTTGGCGCCGGTCGAGTCGACCACTGTAACTTGATCCGCTCCTCTCCCTTCGACAGCAAGAATATAAGATGAAATACATGAACGCCGTCTAAAATTCACGGTTAGCTTTATAGTGGCAATGTCGCGGTTTGTATCTGTTTTGCTTGAACGCTTAGTGACTCATTACATATGTTCTGTCAGTAATGATAAAACATATTTTACATTAGTTCTTCATTTGTTTAATTTTTCCTATATTTTTCACAATGTTTTTTAAATTTAAAATTAGAGGCCACTGAATTTGATGTTGCTGTTTGTAGAATATTAGGCAGGTGCTGTATTTATTTTTACGGAGTGTTCTTTTCAATAAATATTTATGTAAAAATTTAAATGTTTTGGTAAAACAATATCTCCAATTCCAGTCAAGGGCTTGGCCATGACACTAATTTTAGACAGCCAAGGGACGTTGAAAATCATAGTATTCTTTAAAATATATTTTAATACAGAAGATTCCAACAAAAGACTTCTTGTAAATATATTCTAGCGACACAATATAAAACAATATAAAAAAATATTACCTATATCTTAAAATAATTATTACTTGAGATATTAGATCACCGTGTAATTGAGCTTTGTTATGTTGTTAATATTAGAGATTCAATATTTTAAGTGAAAAATGCTTATAAACGCACTTTGTCCCTTGTTTTGTTTCAGTAGCATTGTGAATGCAAAATTTATCAAATATAATAATTTGAGGTTCAATGAAATAAACCCTCATTACCTTTTGAATTCGGTTTTATTTGATTTAAACTTTAATGATGCGCTGTGTTGAACTCTGCATTCAACACGTAATTAAAATAGTTTTTTTAAATTTTTATTCCAATTAAATTTATAATAAGAACTATCACATTTTGTCATGTTTGATAGCTGATAAGATAAATCAATAAAATATCGTCTATGAACTATGACAATGCATCTAACGGCATTTCACCGAGTGGGTGGTAATTCTATGGTGAATTTTAACAATAGTACTCTTCACCCACGTAACCATGGGTTACATTACAATTTTAGAAAAAAAAAACACAATGCCCATTCGGTGACATTTTAATATTATCATAATTTGAGATAGAGAGCTTTGATTTAAATCTATTATGTAATGTAATGTCGAGTTTTTTTATATGCATTATAAGCTCATTAAATGTAGCCAATATTAGGTCAACGGCTTCCCCTGATGGTATTACTTATAAAGGACAGATGATAACCAAATACTTTTTTTTTTAACTTCACCTACTTAAATTATATCCTATCTTACTAACGTATCATCTAGCTTCTCGTAAGTGGAAGAATTTTTAATATGACGCAGTAGTTTCGGAGTTTACTCAATGCAAACTTGCAAAGAAACAATCAAAATTTTACAATAATCGTAGTTTGGAAATTTACCGCCATTATATTACACTTTTTTGCCTTTACGCACCCTCTTAATTATTGAGAAGACTTAATAAAAAGTCAATATGTATATTTATATCCATTTATTTTGTTCATAATACCTATGACAACCATTTACTCAAAATTATATAAAATTAGATGTGTAGGTATTAGGTGTAGTCATTATAAATTGGTACAGTGTAGGTTTTCTAAATAATGCATTGGATTAGTATCAATGATATAACATATTACTGTTTCTTATTTATTTCAATATGTGGTAAACTGGTAAACAAACTGTAGGCAGGTATAAAGATCGGTCATTGAACTCCGCATACAGCATGGCAATCATATATAGCAAAGTTTTTATAGAATGGACTTTTCTTTTGTGTCTCATATTATAAGGTTAAGAATAGAGAAAAGATGTGTATGATTAGCTTTTAATTGGTTAAAAAATGTACACAATATTAATATAAGTACACTAATATTATTTTATAAAACATTATTTGGTATATGATATTTTTTCAATCATAGACCTATCCTAGTAAAAAGTGGAATGGGATCTCTTTTAAAATGTTTACATAAAATAAGAACAATATTATTATATATATTTTAAACATGAAACAAATAATACAGTCTCTCTATAATCGTAATCAGACTTCATATGATTTCATATTCTTCATATCATTATACATTTTTGGAGATTGTTAATTTCCTAACAAGTTACTGAATTCTGTTTATGAATAAATTTTGTTTATTTATTTTTATTTATTTATTGATTTTGTTATGTACAAGTGAAATTTAATATTATTTCTTTACATTTAGAATAAAAATCTATGATAGAGCTAAGGTGTTCTATTCAATTTTTCTTACAAAAAAATATTGCCGTGACGCCATAAATATAATAGATTTTATTAAAATGCGAACAAAGAAACTAAAAATAGATTTATATTCGAATGTTAATAAATATTTTAAAAATGCTATTAAGTTATTAGATGTGATTTTATCAAATGTTTAACAACATTGTATAAAACTGGTATCAAGTTTTGAATTGTTTTCAGATATTGTCATTGGAAAAGAGCAATATTTACATTAGCAATATTTAATACTTATTCCAAATTAAAGACACGAGAATGCCAAAGGTCAAAATGTGAAAAGAAGTTCCAGTTACTGCAGCTGCATTTTTCAAACTACTTAATACGTCATTCTTATGAGTGTGAGCCCATTGGATGGTTGCTTTCACATCCGCCAGCTTGCCGATGGCACCATCACTACTGCCACAATCATCACATGACCTCAACCAGCTTTCAAACTGAAATAGATATAATTACTCTATTATCCTCAAGAGTACTACCGCAGTGAAATACTTTTGCATTTGTGCACAGTGAATTTAATTCCATAACTACAGTATTATTTAAAATTACAAGAGAATCAAGGTTTCAAAAATTTTATTTCTTGTGCAGAACTAACTGCACGCGGGTCCGCCTATCTTGACAGGTCTTTAAAAAATCCATAACTTCGATAAACAGTAATGACTTTACTACAATTCACCAGATGTTTGTTTTCTAACTAATCACTGTTTTTTAAAGACAATTACCTTATTGAAAATTAGATCATTGCATTATTCATATACAGCGAACGCGTAAGTATTATAGTTTTATAAATACGTCGTCCTTTTAGTGACATTGCCCGTTGCAATGTCATTTTAATTGGTTAAAAAGTGTAATTTCCAACAGTGGAAATTAACTCAACGATTGTTACTTTTAATATACTTGATCATCATTAGCTTATTAACGATGGGACACAACCCAAGCAATTAATGAAATCTAATCGAATCTTTACGTGCTGTTATACTTTATTTGACGTTGATTAATGTGACTGTCTATATTATTATAGCCTTACTAATGTAAGCCAAATTACCAGAAACAACATCCACTTAAGTGACCAATATATATATATTGTCCATCTTTCTTTCTCTTCGAGCCGTATCCCTAACGTGGTAGGCAGCGAGGACCTCCTCCACTTTCATTAATCTTTTCAAACATGCTCGCCGGTTTTTATGGCTTTAATGAGAAAATCGATTTATACTAGAGTACCATTAATTCGAATAAACCCACGGACCGCAAGTTATATTTTCCCATTTTAAAATTAGAACAGATTTTCATCACGATGGTAATGTAATGGTGTACTTATGAATCCAAAATTTGTTTACGCACTAGCTAAAACAATAAAAAATCATTTCGTTATGTAAGTTTTTATAAAAAAGTTATTTTAGAGCTATTCCTGTTGACTCATAATAAATTTTGCACAACAAGATGATTCAAGCAAATGAAAATTGAATTGCAATAAATTCAAGGTCTTATTTAAATATAAACATAGGTGTTACGTTTACATTTATCGTTGCCAAGGGCGTCTAATTTTGAAATCGCATTGGCGAGTATCCAACGATAATAACTTTCACTTTTTTTTATTTGAAGTAGTTCCGGTAATATTTAGGTCATGTTTTCTTTCTTGAAATACTAATTATTTTCGCAATCGTATTTATCAGCGTTAAATCAAGAACTGAAAAAGAAGGCACAGTAATCGCTTAGATTTTTTTTAACCTCATCTTTATGAAGAAATAGGAAAGAGTTTATTTGAAAGTTGTATCTTCCTGCCAAGTGAACAGTCCTCAATTGAAATATAAATTAAACTTGATGGCCTACTCTAAATCCTTGAAAATGAAATTACGTTTGTCATTTTTCCGTAATTTAAGATGAAATCGGACCTGACGCTGCCTTTGACGCACAGAAAATCTTCACGGATATTATTTAAACAAAAATAAAAGAATGAATTGAAAATTCAGAATTTTTGTCCATGGATATGTCTTCTCATTGTTTTCTGATGAATAAGCCCTCTAGGCCCTTGTCAACCAATGTAAATGAGCCATTACAAAAACCACAATTTAATTTAGTTTTTACGTGCCTTACAATTCCGGGCAATATAATAATATTACAATAACACTTTCTTCAAGATAACCAAGGCGTACACGAGAACATACGTATTGTTTTTATTATGTCAATATATTAGAGAAATTCTCGCCCGAAACGGAACAAATATTAGACGATCAGCAAACGAAAAAGTCCCACCTAATTGCACCAGCCTCAATGACCTGACAAACACTACAGAAAGTATACATTCATTACAAGGGCCTTTTGTTTGGGCGACAACAGGGCAGGGATTTGCTAATGAACTGCCATTAAGTTTGACATTTTTAGAACTATCGCTTGTTCCTCTTACCGATGTTTGCGATTCGATGTTTTAAATTGCTTTTGTGCTTTTTTATTTAACAAGAAAAGAATGCTTCTGAATATACTTAAATAAAATTATAAAGATTTTATAAAGTTCATTTTGAGATACCAACACAAAAAATACTTTTTTTTTGAAGTATTATATAAGTGATATGTTTAAGTGTAAACTCTTTTCCAAAAATTTAAAAATTTGTGATATTATTTCCATATATTAGACAGTTAATTTATTACCAGTTAAACAGTAGCTAAAATATTTAAAAAAGAAAATCAATCAGATTAGTTATACAATAAAAGTAAATAAAATAAGTTAAACAATCTTACTTCATTAATTTCCGACTCAGTCTTTAATACGGACGCTATAGTCGTGTAAACGGTGTCCATGGATGGATATCTGAAAATTAAAATATAAAATTATGTTTGTGAAGCTTTTTTATCAATGTTTTTTTTATTACACCTTTATTAATTTGCGTCAATTACCCTTTCTTCTGGGTCGACTAAGTTTAAATTTAATTAATAATTATATGTATTTAAAACACATTATAATCAGGGCTTGCGCTGAATAAGAATTAATCATGAAAAATAATATGGAATTCGTTTAAAACTATACTACATTGACTTCCACAGAGATAGGTTTGCCTTCAGATCTTCAACAACAACTGAAACATGACTGTAGTTCCCGAGCACAGCGCTCAGTGGCACCGTCAGATCTTGGCTCATTATTGGACTGTTTTCTTCGAGCATAGAAATCAAATATCTGGAAAGGCAAAAATCATTATCACTATGAACGACAGAACACAGAAAGATTTTACTTTGAAGATAAAGATTTTATTTTGTGGCACTTAAATATAAATATGTTTCTGGACTTAGTAAATATAAACCAAGTATTTTGTTCTATAAAGATTTAGACTCAAATAAACAGATATCCTCATTTATACCTGCATAAACGTTCTCATAAAAGTCGAATTACATATAAAATCTTCAGAGCTGTAGATGGTATTCGCTTATGCATGATCTTCTATGTGTTAACTTGGTATCTTTTATTGGAATGGGGACAAACATTCATCCTAATATAAATTCTGTGAACACCTGTCAGTTACGTTGTACTGCTGTCCTCATTTAGTACTTACTTCCTTAAGCTGCCTTCATGTGTGGTACATCCAAGTATTTCTCCGATAAGACGGCCCTCGTTAGCCACATTAGTTGTAGACATCCGTCTCCACATAAATTCATAGTCTTCTTCTCTACCATGACGTAGACCAGAGCAGTACGCATAATATCGCAAGCTCGGGGAAATCCTTAGAAATAAATACCATTTTAATAAATACTAGCGATCAAAATCTATATATATATATATATATATATATATATATATATATATATATATATATATATATATATATATATATATATATATAACTCAAAGGTGACTGACTGACATAGTGATCTATCAACGCACAGCCCAAATCACTGGACGGATCGGGCTGAAATTTGAAATGCAGGTAGATGTTATGACTTAGGCATCCCCTAAGAAAGGATTTTGGTCAATTCTACCCCCAAGGGTATAAAATTGGGGATGAAAGTTTGTATGAAACTGTCAATTTTAAACACGATATAAGGAATAAATATTCTTTAGAAATGCTGTTCAAAGTTGTTCAACTTTACTACGCAGACGAAGTCGCGGGCGAAAGCTAGTTCAACAATAAAGTTGGAACAATATTATAGTTTTTTTATCAAAGACTTCTTGTGATTCTTTGATATTCGATTTAAAAAGTATCAAGCGCATTTAAATATAGTTAAAATTTTATTAGCATTTGGCATTTCTCGATATTCACTTTGAATATATCAAATGTTTTGCGCGATTATCATAAAAAGTTCCACATTACTGCTAACCGTATTAATATTTAGTTAAAAAATCCGTTCCTTATTTTCATGTTTCCACTACTACAAAAAAATCTAAAAATGTCCATTCAACTATTATCTATATTATAAAAACATTTATTGTCACCACTTTTTAAATATTTATTATATTAAATTTTTAGTATAAGTTGTTATAGCGGTAACATAAATTTATTATCTGTGAAGTTTTCAACTGTCTAGCTAATACAGTTCACGGACGAACAGACAGACGGATGAAAAACGGAGTTTACTTTTAGGGTACGGAACCCTAAAAATGCGATATTTAATACATCACTAAAATTAAGGTTCATTTTCAAACATGCGAAAGTGTTAAAGTGTAATAAGCAAAAAAGTTTGTCCCGGGTATAGTTACGTACATATCAGTGTTGGTACACTATCGGCACGAGTTCTTTTAAATATTCTCTATAAACGCATTTACACTCATCAGTGTCAGTGATCTATTTGAAATTTTAGTGTCAGTGCCAGATCCGAAAATCCTTGACGTAACCAGCTACAAGGAATTTTTGTTCGAATCATTGACACTACTTAGTAAACGTCAAAAAATATTCAGAATGTTACCGACCTGTGCCGATACTGCGCCGGCAGTGATACGTCCGTGATATATATGAATAGAGCTTAATTCTTGCTTAGACCGAAATTAATATTAAAGTATTATGTATTCATATTGATTATAACTACGCTTGTAATTGTAACACTGACTGAGAAATAAATAAAAACTAATCTAGGCAAACATATTTAAGCACAGAAATAATAATTGCATAATGTTATAACTTACGGGACACCATTGTCGACAAAGTTCCTAAATAAACCATTTCCATGTTCAATGCAACCCGCATGCCCAAGTTTGCAAGCAAATTCAAGGACTTGCAAACGATTACGTAATGTTTCAAAATCATCAGTACTTTTCTCATCGTAACCCAAATGATTTATAATGTTCTCCAACAAGCTCAAAGCGTATACCTGGAAATAGATGACTTTGAAGTTAGTTGGGAGATCAAATTATAAAAATAGATTCACCAATAAAAACAATATTACATTGTTGTCGAAACTATTTAGAATATGTATGAAACACTTTGCACTTTAGATGTATTTAATTAAAGAAAAAGAATTAAGGCGCCTTTATTTAAATGTCGAGAGAGTTAACTGTGTAACTGTTTCTCTACTTAAACTATACAGGCATCAAAGTGTTAAATAGGAGTCACATTTACCTCAATACTAGGCAAAGCATCTGTGCCTAGGTACATATTTCTCAGTTTTTTCAATCCTCTAAGTGCAGCATACCACACAGAATAGTCAGTTTCTGCTTTCAAGAAATCCAAAACCTCGTAAAGTGTGTTGAAATTTAATTCATCGGCGTAGAAGAACGCAAACAAGTCATTAACAATCTGTTGGTTAGGAGAATTCGATCATTAAGTTGTTATGATCATTAGTGATTCTTTGTGAAACTAAACTAAAAGACCGCATTTGTGTGCAAGAGTTCAGAAAGGGAGTTGACCTGAAAGATAGCGTCTGAGTAAAAGTAAAAAAAGAACATGCTGCATTAGTTAAGATATGCGGAAAGATTGCTGGATGAAAGAAAGGCCATAAAACGACTTTCAAGATCACATCAGTGTGCTGTATGAAGGTGAGGTCAGAAGCCATAATAAACCAGTTAGAATATTGAAAAGAGTAATGAAAGTGGAGGAAGCGAACGATATAGTTAGATTGTGATTTCAAATTTGCCATGTAATTTTATTAAACATCTAATTTACCTTTGCGCGATTTAAATGATGGATATCTGTACGTCCATTTCCCTTCAATGCATTCGCGATGATTTGATAAGCATGGGCATCGTATTTAACTCTATAAAAACCTAAAAATAATGTATATACATAATAAACGTATTAAGATGTGTTGGTACTTTATGTACAATCAATGGCACTACATGCTAAATAGATCCCCATAATAGAGTTTATAGGAAAGGTTTGTTACTACAGACATGAACTACGTAGGAAAAATAGGCACTTGTCCATTGGCGTCTGTGTGTATCTGTACGATCATGCTACTAAAAATATAATTATATTAATAGGCACTAAAGACAGAAGAATTTAAAGTCCCTAAGTCTGTATATGTCTTGTGTGCTTCAATGTCTGTAGATATAAACGAACTATTATATACTGTATCGGTAATGGTAATACGTTTTCTATCACTTTTGTATAGTCAACATTATATAAATCAAGTTATCAAAAGCTGTCAAACTCCAATTGCTTTAAAACTTATTTACAATACATAAATATATATGATTTGAACCAATGCTGTATAAAATAAGACGTGTTTTTATTTAAAACTCACCTGTTTCTTGCACATTGAAAATAATCCAACTGTTATTCTGACCTATATTCGACACGTTCAAGGTAGCGGTTCGTGCCTCCATAATAAATAAAGGTTTAGTATTAGTGAAATCGGGAGAAATCCCTGTAGTGTATGTTATTGGAATTTTATAAATCTCGTCTGAGGAATGCGATCCATTGATATAAAAACGTCGCTGCGAACAAAATGTTTTACATATTATAAACTTTTGGTACCCTTAACGACATCAGATATTTTTTCTTAAGATCTAATTGATCCGATTTTGCTTAACTGTGAACAAGAATTTTCTGACGAACAACAAAATACCCAAAAAACAGTAGCTATAGAGATTGTAACAACTTTAAATCAAACAATTAAAACCTTTTTATATTCACGTTTAATTGTAAATGATAGTTACTACTCTTTATTGCTTAAACAGATAAGAAAAAGTAAACATCAGATTTTTTCAACTCTAAAATGGGTAAAGGCGGTTTAATCGCTAATGGCAAATAATACTGTTTGATTGATTTATTTATTAATTAATGCTAAGAAAAAAGATTTTCAAATAATACATTATGTAATAGGGCTATGTTATTCAAATTGGTGGCAATTTTTTTTGATGGTGAATTGCTTGTGCCCACGAATAAATCAAAAACTGTGATATGCTAATTTACGTCAATAGAGTTTGAAAATCACAAATAAAATCCATTTACCTGACTTAAACTAACGACGTTGTTCCCATAATCTACATTGACATCTAACACGGGATGACCAGCTTGCGTTATCCATGATCCCATAATGTTAGCTACCGTGGCACCTGGATATGCTGATAACCCATTATAAACATTAACACCTGTTTGTAGTCCTGCATACAGTAAATCCGGGTAGCCAGATTGGAATTCACTGAAGGAATTAAACATAAGGTTGAAATAGAGATATCACGCACATAACACAATAAACTTTTCTTGATCTAATATGATCGTAGTTTTATTATGAGGTATCTACATTTGTCATTTCTCTAAATATAAATATAAGAATTTTATTGATCTTATCAATTAAGGTTTAGATACGTTATTAAGTAATAGACCGTCTGAATTAAAGCTTTATCGTTCTAGGAATTTATTAGTATAAGATCGAATGTCACTCATGCACCTGCTAAATGGATTTATATCTACGATTTAATTTATTTCATTATTCACAATTTTAAGTTGCAGTACATAGGTATTGGTACTGAAATAAAATTGTGAAGAAACTTTCGTAAATGAAAACACTGTAGCTTTACTAAACATTAGTAATTTAACAATCTTACTTGGTGGTTAAATAAGCGTTCAGTCCAGCCTTAAAAGCGTCATTTCCTATAAGATGGTGCATCATTCTGATAACAGATCCAGCTTTTTGATAAGTGACAGTTCCAAAATGGCCGCTGATTTCAGCTGGTGAATTAACATCGTTGTTTGTAATTGCAGGTGACGAAGGTGAATCGTCAGCATCGTACGCCGAGTACACTGAACCGGTAACAAGAATATTTTCCGAAGCTAATTCTGGTTCTATCTATGTAAAAAAAAAACAAAAAAAAACAAAATATTGAGATGACTTTTTAGCCTTATTGACGAAGCAACAATAAAATGATCCTTGCGTTAAAATGATTTTGAAAAGTATAAAAATAAACTAAATTAAATGTTACATATAAATTCAAAACAGCCATTAATTCAAATAAGCTAACAGCGCTTTTGAAACGTCTGTATTTATATATTTGTTACGGACATACGTCTCGTCTTTTTAATAATTTGATGATCTTAAGCAAAATAATTAATATAATAAGTAGGTTTTGTCTAATGTATGTAATATAAACGATAGAACCTTTGAGTGTATTTATTCCTATAATATTAGGGCATAAGTTAATTATGATATAACTTCGACGGCGAGGTCTTGTCCGACACGATGCGAGTTATGTATGAATGTTTTAACCTAGTTTGTAATATAAATAAGTAAAGCAGTAAAGTGTATTAGTAATGATAATGTAATACATAGATGTTAAGTGTGGGGGTGGCTTCGCCAAGTAGGGGTACAATATGTAATATGATAACAAACTGGTTATATACGGAGCTAAGTGCAAACCACCCCACCGAATGTAAGACAGGTCGATTTGAACAGTTTTTGTAAGCTCTCCGGCCCTCAAGATCTGAATAAAGAAGAAGTGAAAATTATCGAAGGAGTTTTATTGTACTGTCCAGCATCGGCTAGCTACGTTGAACACAACATTGTTTAAAATTTTCATGGCCATTATTGTTAGAAAAATTGTTGATGAATTGGAATAATTGTTATTAACAATTATATAATAGCTCATCTTTATGTATCATTTCGGTCAATTTTTAGATTGCAAGAAGAATAGACTACATTTACTTCAATATTTATTAGAATCAGGCGTTATGTTGCGAAATCCATTCATTTGATAATGAAAATATGATATTTAGCAACTTTCACACAATTCAGTATCTGTAAAACTAATATATGCACTGCCAAAAATCTAATTCACATGCACAAACAACACCAAATCTCACAATCACCACTCTATACGCGTTTATTTTCTCAACGAAGTATTCGGAGGATTATTACCTTTTAGATCGTCTAAAAGGTACTCTAATTAGGTCTGGAAGGTGCTAGGTAGTATCACAGTTACACTTTTACGTAAATTTATTTAATTGTTCTCTTATAAAATGCGCAATGAAAAACTTAGCGGAAAATAACATAACAGTTACTAGATCCTATCAAAAACTGATGTTATACATATATCATTTTAAACTTCTATGAACACTATCGTTAGAATAATTGTTCTTTGAATGACTACCGTATTCTTTATTTTCAGTTACTTTAATCACAATGTAATCATACAGCACTTGCACCAGTGCCAAAAAATTACTTGCAGAATAATGTTACAGAACAACGATTGAAAAATGCAGTAGCCCCATAATTCAAATCTTTTTTGCATTTTTCTTTTTGAAAGACATAAGTACGACATTTTGAATACATTATTTATCAAATATAATAATTGCAGAATACTTACTAAGGCGGTAATATAGTCTTGGAAATAATTTGCGAAACCTTCATTCAACCAAGTGTTGCTCCACCAGTGACATGTGACAAGATTTCCAAACCACATGTGGGTTGTTTCATGAGCTATTATTTGGGCTACCCTATACTTATAATAAGGTTCTGATTCTTCAGGAACGTAGAGCAGTAGCGACTCTCTACAAATCGAAAGAAAATTATTTAAAGTATCTAATGATGTTTTATCTATATAATCTGCTAGTGGAACCTTTTAATTTGTTTTAATACACTATCAATTTATATTCAAATACAGTGTTGAAAAAAATATTTTAAAGAGGATTCAATGCTGCTTATCTCAGGCTTTACAGACGCTCACAATACTTAAAAAAGACTTCTAATGACGAACTAAGTCATAGGAGACAATGAAATTGAATGGTGCCATTCCATTAAAGGGTTAGTCGCCCAAATGATCGGCTGATTATACCACTGGGCTGCGACAATGCTAAATGTACAAACATTTGGATAATCTCACCTGTACGTTACCAAACCCCAGTTTTCCATAGCACCAGCTCTGAAATTGATCAGAGCTACGTGATCCAACTTTAAGTTTAGATTAGTAGAATAATAACTAACACCAAAGTATTCACCCAGTTTATCAACGACTCTCAAAGCAAAATCAAAAGTATAATCGCTCTGGTTGGCTGCTTGAGGTCTTGTAAAGATACCGAGCTCCTTGGAATCATTGACACTGTACTTTGCAGGTACGAATTCGGAGACTAGGAAGGCAACCAAATAAGTGGACATTTGAGGTGTGGGATAGAATATTTCTCTAATGTATCCATTTCCTCTGTAAAAAATTTAATTAATCCATTATTAGTACTTAGCAATAATTCGTGATTACAAATAAATGTTCTAGCATAGTACTCTAAACAAGATAAGACATGCTATTATGTAAATTTCGCATGGTATAATACATAAATTAAGCGATGGTTATATATGTATAGGCCGCCTAACATATATTTATTATGGAGGTGGTTATATTATGTAAAATAAATATAAATAATCCCGACCAGCGCGTTGAGCAAATGTATGAAAACCAGTACTATGCGAGCCAAATAAGAATGGGATTGAAAAGCTAATTGTCTTATTTTAAAGTTTATCACGATCCCTTTCAATTTGAAATATAATAGCGGTTGGGACGTATTTTAAATAAATTTTGAATAGTAACTTTAAATTAACGTTAAATAGAATTGTCTAAGGTCAAGCGATAACATTAAATATATTTGAAAGTTATTGAGGAATATCAAACGAAAAAGTTGTCTGCTAACTGCAATCTAATGACGGGTTGTGATGTAACTGGCTCTTTACGTATTAGAGTGAACATCTATGATTTTGTTACAGAAAACTAAATTTTGTTAATTATATATACTTATTATTTATTCCAATATCGTTAGTTAAGATATAGATATATGTATTCAATTCATTGGCAACGTTTTGAGAACTATGTGTTTTGGTTCATATATTGTATTAAAAGTGATTAATTTAAACGTAGTATGTACCTCAGTATACTTACAGGCTCACATTAGTTTGCATTTTCGTATTAGCCAAGGAGGGATTATAAGTTTCTGGTCGGTCGATTGCCAAAGCGAAGGTGGCTTTGTAATCAGGTTCATCGAAACAGGGGAACACCTTCCTTGCGTGTGTGGGTTCCATTTGTGTTGCACCGAGCCATCTGGGAATTAAGATTGCGTAATGTTACCGCCTGCTTAATCCTCTCTGTTACGGTATAGTTTATACATAATATTAGGGGTTAAAGTATAAGATTGCTGTTTTGTTTTGTATTAGGTTTTTTGAATTGACAAATAATCTTCAGGGTTCGAGTTTATCGAAAGAAACTTTTTTCAAGTGGTTTCTGTGACGTACTTTTTTTTAAAAATGAAACATTTGAATATCCACTTTCAATTGTTTTTGTTATAAAACTTTTACAAGAAAGATGGATACTGTGAAAATTGGAGTGATTTATGAATACGAGTTCCGACGAGGAAGTGACGCGGCAGAAACAGTCCGCAATATTAATGTTGCCTTTGGAGAGGGGTCTGCTAATGAACGCACCGTGCGATTCTGGTGTAAACGTGATGGAAATTTCGATTTGAAGAAGCCACGAGGAGAACCACTCACATAGGTGAATAACGATGAATTAAGAGAGATGGTGGAAACTGATCCTAGTCAAACTACCCAGGAATTAGCGGCATGGTTTAACGTTACCTTGCCCACAATATTGACTTATTGCGTCAAATTAATAAAATAAAAAATACGAAAAATGGATGCCTCATGATTTGCATGAAATGCAGAAAGAAACACGAGTTGAAACTTCTGTTGCTTTGTTGAATTGGTACAGAAATTAAGGAATATTGGATCGAATTGTGACATATAATGAAAAGTGGATTCTTTATGATAGCCGTAAAAGAAAAATGCAATGGCTGACCCAGGTCAAACGCCACAACAGTATCCTAAAGTAAAACTTAGCAATGTAAAGGTAATGGTAACTGTTTGGTGGTCCCATCATGATGTTATTCACTATAGTTTTCTCCGATCTGGTCAAGCAATAACGCCAGATGTCTATCGTGCCGAACTCCAAACAATGTTAGCAAAACTAGCAGTTAAACAGCCCCAACTCATGAATCGATCTTCACCATTAGCCTAGCTCCAACGGACTACCATTTTTTCGTGATTTGGACAATTATCTACGTGAAAAGAAGTTTTCTTCCCAGAAGGCAGTGCAAAATGCTTTCACACAGTTTGTGCAGTATAGATCTTCAGAGTTCTATCGCAAAGGCATAAATGAGTTTCCTATTAGATGGCAGCAATGTATAGATAATAATGGTAACTATCTAGATTAAATAAATTTGTTAGAAATTAAAAAATAAACAGCTTCGATTTTCAATACAAATCGGCAATTTCATATTTTAACCCCTATTACTTTAAAATCTGATATTCCCTGCAATTCACGAATTTGCTGTCAATACATAAAATTGAGATATAAAGATAGCACTATAATGTTTATGAACACTAGTAACAACTTCACTTTTATGTATAGCGTTATCTCATTTAATAATACATAAAAGATATTTGCTTTGCTTCACCGTGGCCACAGTTCATGCATTTATAAATCATATGAATTCCCAATCAAAAAGCATATTTGTTTAGAAGCTTACATAGTTGTGTTTCTAATTACATTAATAAATAATCTTTTTTAAACTATTAAAAAGGCCCTCTAAAAAAGAATGTTTTGGAAGAAATATCGGTAAGATTTCTTGTTAAATATAAATTTAAACAAGAGAGAAATGATATGTATTTTCGATACGAGAAACGAGCGCTACAAATTTCAAAAGTGTTATAGGTACATTAGAAAGTATTAAAAATGCCTTCTCACTCATAATAAAAAAGAATATTTTGGAGCAAATATCGGTAGGTTTTATTTTTTAATATAACTTTAAAGAAGAGAGGAATGATTTGTATTTTAGATAAGAAAAACGAGCACAAAACGACAAAAATTAACCTATAACTTTGAAGCTTATCTTTATTTTAGGTAATCTTTGAGTGTTTTGTTAAGTTACACTTCAAGTATGTCTATCGCCGATTATTATCTATGATACTGTAGAAATTTTCCTGAATTGTGTTCTATTTGTCACTAGCTCACGTGCTCAAGGGGAATTACTAAGGGATTTTATTAGGTAAAAAGTAGCCCACCCCCGCCCCCCAACTATTTCTACATATTAAATACTACATACAAAAATCATATAACTTCTCGGTAGCGAAACGTTAAAAAATTTTATTTAAAAAAACTTTGACGTTTCTAATTTTGTGAATATTTATGTATTAGTAGATACATACATGAAAACATGTATGTACTCTGGAAAATTCGTGAAAACCAAAAGCTTTACGGAAAAGATTCAAGTAAATTAATAAAGAAAATGCGCTACAAAATGAAACAGAGGAAGGTTTCGTAAATATATTTATAACGACAAGGAACATGTACTTTTTTAAAAATCGAATATAAGAGATTAAATTAAGTCAACAAAGACGATTAACGTTAGATCTAACTATCGGACTGTATAAAATATTGTAAGCAGCCAAATTCTCATTATTTTATTCTTTCAAAAAAGCCCGAGACTAATTATTTGACATCTTTGGACAACACCTATAATATATAAAGAAATATAATATGTATAATACTTACTTTTTTACTCCGTTTTCCATATAATAATTTCTGTAAAACCCGTTCAAATCATCTCTTATTGGACCAGTATAAACAATACGCAACTCATATCTAACTCCAACTTCTAATTCGGTTTGTAAATTTATATATGCGAAAGTGTAAAATGTGTCAAACTGGAGAGGATTCGAATCGTTCAATGCAATTTGGTTTGACGTACTGTACACGGTGACAGTAATATTATCAGGAACAAACGTTAAATTTTCAGAATGTAATTTTATTTGCTTCGTCACTTCGTTAGTTGTAAATACGATCGCAACATCACCATTGAAAGTGAAGGATTTATCGTCATTTGTATCAAAGTATGGTGTTATGGTGATGGAGTACTCCGATGGCCTTAACGGTGTGTTTAGTCTATAATTTGGATCACTATACACATTTTGTATGAGAAAACAGAAAGCCAATATCAACAGACGATGCATGGCTGCAACGAAAAACAATATTTCAGTAATGTATATCAATAATAAATTTAAGTAAAACAATCATTATATGATCAAATATATGAAGAAAAATTAAAACTCGTTCTTCAAAAGCATAATTGTTACTATTTAAAAGTGAACTAAAGAGTGATATATTAAATAATTCGTACCTGTTGTCTGCACTACATAAAAAATAATATCAACTGAGGCTTATAATACACTCCAAAGAAGCAGTTGAACAATAAATTGATAAGAATCATCTTAAGAATTGTGTTATCAGTAAGAAGACTTTATAGATAACTCTTAAAGAGTGTGGTGAAGGTAGGATGATAACTGACGAATAGTCTTGTATCGAAGTCAATATTGTCTCGAATCGAATTAAAACATTAACACGTGCAAGTAGCTCAATATTTGCCTTTTTATAAATCGAAGCAGCTTATTATTCAATACCATTAATTTTATAAGGGCTATTAACAAGCATTTAAAATAATAAAATCTAGATTTTTCAGTTCACATGCCTAAACAGGGTTTCTTTCGTAGCAGTCAAAAATATGAGTGTGGAATTTAGTTGCAATCTTGTCTTATTATAATTCACCAACTAATTAGCTTTTTTCTATGTTCATATTTTTGTTCAGTTGTAGTATTTAGTGTTACGTATCCAAATGATAAAAAAGAAACCCTATCTTATTTAGGTTCTGCTATCCGGCCATTTGTCGTCTGTCACTTAGCTGTCTCATCTCATCGTCATCTCATAAAACGTAATAAATATATAGTTAAATTTTTAACAGATGATGTTGCTACTATAGAAAAAAAAATTAAGGGCGGCTCCTATACGATAAATGTGTTTTTTTTTTGCATTTTTATAGGTACGGAACCCTTCATACACGTAATACCAAGCAACTTTTTCGATTCTACCAACTCAACGGTTTCAATATTAAAATAAAAATGAGTCAACAATAACAGTGCTACTATGTACTCGTATGTATGTCTTGAACGCTAGGGCTATATGGCTATAAGGGATAATTTTCATCTTAACTGTAAATTTTGCATAAAGTGATCAACATGAAAAACGTCGTATCAGATCTTTTCTCATACATTGATATTTAGACATTTTTTCCTCTGAGTATGCAGATTTGTGTTCAAGAATTTTATCATAAATATAACAGAAACGTATAGGTCTAACCTAACCTTTGAAACGAAAAACAACGCATGAACCGAGCTAGCGAAGCGAGCGCGGCGCTGCAGCGGCATCGAATCGCTTTTGTAAAAGGCAATATTCTAGCAAAAATCTACAAAGTCGGAATTAATGCCGTAGGCATTATCTTCCAGTCAACCTTGGTGATGTGGAGACAAATAGATGGTGGGGCACAACAGAGGTGAAAATATTGTAGGAAAAGATTATACTATAAGGGTACATACCTATACAAACAAAAAACATAAATTAGTAGCAATACTCTTTATTCCATAGAACACTAATACTACCTATAAACAAGACATTTATATACAAAATAATATAGTATTCATATACTTACATACATATTTTATTAAAAAAATACATACATATAAAGACGACTAACGATTTAATGAATCTGCTTGTTACAACAGAAAGTTACGCAACATGTTTTAAAAGATTATTTACTATTGAAAATTTCACAAAACTGACGAAGAATGAATAGTGAACAATTTTGAGTGATGAATAGATGACAGAGAAGGTGACGATTAGAGGAAGAACGAAGACTTTTGGTCTGAGAGGTAGATAAATACTGGGAGTGAGAGGTACGATAAGAAGGAGCGTTTGGACAGTTGAGCAAAGAGAACAAGGCCCTTAAAGCCCGCATACTTCTTCGCTACTAGATGGCATCTAGAGAGCAACCCAGAATCGACTTATCTAATACAAAATTTGATCAAGAATAAACATCTAGGCGGTGAACTAGTTAAACTTACGCTGGCTAAAACATTTTGCTATTTGAAAGTTGGCATTTTGAAAAGTGGCGCTATAAAAAGCACACCGAATATTTAGTAACGGTGAATTGTAATAATAGGCCAAACAATTTTCGGCGAAAAGGCCCGGCCATTGCATAGATCTTGAATATTTTCATAATGGATAACCCCTACGTTTATTAAACAGCAATACTAACAAACCCAACGATTACATTATGAGTATGTATTACAACTAGTATATATTTTTACTAAAATAACGTACAAACATATAAACATTTGAAAAAGGTATCTTGGTATATCTCTGTTGACATTTCAAAACAACTCTTCGTTTTTTTGTACAAAACAGACACTACTTGAATAAAGAGAGGCGGTAGCGAAAATAATCCACCAGGCGCGATTTCAGCCCGGATGCAATTCTTTTGCGCAATGAAGACCCTTTTTTCGGATATTTTTTCCCCAGAAAATAATTCCGTAGCAAAGAATAGATTCTATCGATTAATCTATCACTCGCTGCTAGACAAACAATGACTAATAAAGAATTCCGGACAGGGTATTTTTGCCAGATTCGGGATAATATGAACAGTTTCATAGAAATAATTTAGGCTTTAGCCCTTCCTTCAGTTTTACTGTGGTTTTACGTGCTAGTTAATTTTCCGAGTCAGCGTATTGAGGATCAGGGAAAGTAAGTAATAGAGTTTGTCAATATCAAAACTTAAGTTTTAAAATTTAGTATGGACATTCGATTTTATATTAAAATCGAAAGCTTGCTTGAAACAACTACTTAATCCAATTTTGTATTATTCGGTGAAAATATACTTTTCATACCTCTATAAATAATAAATATATCTTCATTGCGATTCTTTATCGAGTTTTAGGTTTTCCGCGTTAGGCAATACTAAGACTAACAATTCAAAAATGCAAAGAAAAAATTCATAAGTCTAGTATGACTAATCATAGACGCCAATAAGATATCAAAAAGTTAATTAAAAAATAGGTCTCCTAGATTGGAGCTATTTCATCGCAAGAAATCCTTTTTTAATGTCAAGGAAATAATTGATATTTTTTTTACCTAATGGAGGAATGGCTGGCAACTAACTAAGCAATTGTACCCCATTTCAATGTTGGACTTCATAAGGGATTGCAATTCAGTAGTATATTCAATCCAGCTAGTTTTTTTTCTAGATTAGCCTGAATTAATGTAATCAAAATAAATGAATAATTTTAAAGATTTTTCGTTTATTTACAATTATAATAATTTAATCTTAAAAAATTTGCGACACAAATTTGTTTTTTTTTTTTGTTTACTCTCTAAGTGCCTACCGATATTATATAAAGTATAGATCACACTTTTTCCTACTTTTATTCATAATTGGCAGTTCAGAATAATCTAAATTGCTGGCTGATTAAGAAACATTAGCTGACCATAAGTTGCTGCGCAACTAGCTATATTGGCCAATCGATTCCATTTTTTGCTGACAAAAATCTTATCATTTTACTAACCATGTAAATAACATTCATATAAAAATAACTTTTGAAAGCTCCTCGTACTCGTATTCAATAAACTTTTAATGGCACAGACAGTTTTGGTTAGTCCGTACTTGTTATTTGTATACTTTTAATAAAAAATAATAAGTTACTTTTTGTTACAGTTATTATATTATAATATAAGCACGGAAACGTCGAACAATATATACATATATATATATTTATTTATTTTATTCGGGTTGGCAACAGCATTAAATTAAATTATATATATATATATATATACGAGGGTCAAACTGAAAGTTCTTAGAACTGGCCACTTATAAACAATATAATAAAAAAATAATTCTAAAATTTGAAAATATAACTCTTTGCCAATATTACTGAGTATATATTTCATTCATTTGTCATTTGTTTTACGATTTGGCGGCAAATTGAAAATTGTCTGTGTCACGTCATCATGAATTTAACACGAGAAAATTTTCGTGCAATGATTTTTTATGACTTTCGATGTCATTTAAGTCAACAAGAAAGTTATGATAGACTACGATTGGCCTTTCACGATGAAGCCCCATCTCGTGCGACTGTTTACAACTGGTTTAATGAGTTTAAACGTGGTCGCACTAATCTCACTGATGATTTACGTGAGGGACGGCCTTCTACGGCGACGACTGAAGATAACATCTGTGTTGTGCGGCGTATGATAGAGACTGACAAAAGAGTGACCTATCAACAGATTCGGACAAGCTTAGGCATCGGTATGAGTCAAGTGCACAAAATCCTCCACGAACATTTAGCGGTCAGGAAGCTTTGCGCCCGGTGGATACCTCATAATTTGACTGAGGCTCAAAAACTCCATCGTGTGGATTGGTGTCGTAAAATTATTGAAAGATTTAACGGAGGTGACTCAAATGCTGTGTTCGACATACTAACAGGTGACGAAAGCTGGATTTACTGTTATGATCCTAAAACCAAAAGACAATCTGCTCAGTGGGTGTTTCCTTTCGAGGAGTTGCCAACTAAAGTGAAGAGAGATCGAAGTGCGGGAAAAAAAATGGTGGCCTCGTTCTTTGGAAGGATAGGTCATTTTGCAACAATTGTGTTAGAGGATCAAAAAACAGTTTCTGCAGAATGGTACACTACCAATTGTTTGCCACTTGTCTTGGAAAAAGTTCGAGAGAAACGACCTCGCAGTAGGATCCTCCTTCACCACGACAACGCCTCGTCGCACACCGCCAAGCGAACGATCGACTATTTGGCGACATCAAACGTTGAATTACTGGGTCACCCGCCGTATAGCCCCGACCTCGCGCCTTGTGATTTTTATTTATTTCCAAAAATTAAAGAAAAACTTAAAGGAAAGCGGTTTATGAATGCTGAAGAAGCGGTGGCTGCGTATCGCGATGCCATTGAAGAGACCCCTAAGGACGAGTGGGCAAAGTGCTTTTCCCAGTGGTTCCATCGCATGCAGCGGTGTATTGACGTGAATGGACAATATTTTGAAAAGATATAATAAAACTAATAACTGGCTAATGTAATCAGTTTTTGATTTTCTAAGAACTTTCAGTTTGACCCTCGTATATATTTTATTTATTATTTCTGTCTGCAATCAGTCTCACAGCTATAATCAGATTAGCTGGTATTCCACACTTTCTGGCATCCCTTTAATATTAAAGACCATGAAGATCCTGTCACACTGCAGTCAGTTGGTCTCTTTTAGGGCGTTTTATGTTATGACACGTATCGAGGAGTGCTATAGCAAGTATATTTTTATATCGCTTCAATCGGCTAACATATGTCTCGCACGATGTCCTGATATCATACTTAATATAGGGTATTTGCAAATATTCATATACTTCGACGTTTTTCATAAACCATGGCGCATTGCATAGAATTTTCAGAGCAAAATTCTGAAATTGCTCAAGTATTTCGATGTTAGAATGACTTGCTGAGCCCCAGAGTTCTATTCCGTGTGTCCAAATGGGTTTGTCTATAGAATTGTAGATGGTATGTTTATTTTAACTGGTTAAATGTCACAAAATTTAATAATATTTGTTTCACAAAAGATAAACGAACTCAGTTACCTGAAGATTATAAAATTAAAATAAATGAATGTAAAAACGTTGTAAACAGCTCCTGTTTAATGTTGAATAAGGTACCACATACAAAGTATTTAGGTATATTAGTAGACCATAGACTATCCTGACATATGCATATTGAATTAATAATGAATAGAATCAGAAAACTTATTTACACTTTCAAAGAACTACGACATAGTGCCACAAAATTTATTTTAAAACAAATTTATATATCCCTGGCAGAGTGTATACCGGCATATTGCTTACCAATCTGGATAGGTGCAACAAAAACTAAATTTATTGAAATTGAAAGAACACAAAGATCTTTATTAAAAGTAATATTTTTTAAACTATACAGATGTCCTACAGTCTCTTTCCAATTATTATAAGAGACAAATAGCTATTTCGCTATCATATTTATTTTATATAACAACCAAAAATTTGGCTAATCAGATTGCTCCTATTGAGCACTCTTCTATAGACATGACTGTCAGTAATAATCCTACTGACATTGCGACAAATTCGTCTTTAAATTATATATTAAGACAACAGAGGATTCCTCTTTCTTGCTATTGAATAGTCAAAGTAATAATGGAACCAAGAGTTTATCAGTCATCAACCTAGTGCATCAAAATGTTCAAGGAATGTTGAGTAAAGAGTTAGAAGTAGAATTATTCATGAACTGTAACAATATTGATATTTTCTGTATTACGGAACATTGGTTAACAAGTTTTAATTGCATTTTTAACTTCAATAATCACCTGGTTAGTACCTCGTTCATTAGGAAAAAGTTCAAATGTAATTATTTCAATGCATAAATTAAAAATAGTAAAGTTAAAATTAAAATGACGTGGAATATCATAAATAGTGTAACTGGGAGAGAAAAATCCCGGAATATAAGGCATTTGATTGTGTTTTTCATGAAACGATGATTAGGAAACTTCATTTTTATGGATTTAGAGATAACTAATTGGATTTTACTGTCTCATACTTGACTGACAGAGTACAGAGGGTTGATATTAATGGCAAAAGATTCCCTGGATCAAAAGTTAAGATGGGTGTTCTGCAGGGCTCTACACTTGGTCCTTTCTTATTTTTGATTTACTTAAATGACTTGCCTTATTTCGTAAGGGATGATCACGAAATATTTTTGTTTGCGAATGACACTTCACTTTTGTTTAAAATTAAAAGAAGGTTACCTCTAAATGACGATGTGAACAAATTGTATCGCTAAAGTAGTACATTGGTTTAATGTAAATAATCTTCTCCTTAATGAAGGAAAAACAAAATGCTTAAAATTTATACTACCTAATGTTAAAAAATTAAATATAAATGTTAATATAAAAGATAAGAACATGGGCCTTGTGAATACCACAGTATTTTTAGGAATAACATTAGATTCTATACCACAGTGGGGCCCACATATTGATAAATTGTCAAGTAGACTTAGCTCTGCAGCATATGCCTTTATGAAAATACGTCGGTTAACTGATTGTTATTGTTATTATGTTTGTTGTTTGATTGTTAAAATTTCCCATATACAAACACAGTACTATGTTAATGGAAGAGTGGGATCTCCTAATACAAGCAAAAAGTTGCTTAAAAGGAGTCGTTAAAACCTATATGTATATGATATTTTCTAGATGATGAAATAAATTCATTCACAAAAGAGGCGCCCTTGGAGGTATTTTTATCCCTAGGGAATCTTAAGTGGGATGAATAGTTGTCTATATATTAATCCAGACCAAGGATTGCCTATATACCAAATTTCACCAAATCCATTCAGTAGTTTTTGCGTGAAGAAGTAACAAACATCCAAACCTACAAAGTTTCGCCTTTATAATAATAGTAGGTTAAGTAGCATTCAAAACATTTTTTAATAAAGTTAATTTACATTTAATAATATGTAGGTACCATTTTGTTAGATAACTTTTGCCATCTGGTAGTAGGGACATGATCCTATTGCTATAGAATTAGGTTTCTATCAGTGAGCTCGTAAGGTACCCAAATACTCACCTTTTTTATGTACCCCAGTTCTTCAGTAGTCGTAACTACTGATATGACGATCTTGCTCCACTTTTTCAAAAATAGCATCAGTTTTATCCGTAACAGGGCGACCGGAGTAACATGCATCTTAGACATCAAAATTTCCGGACTGAAAACACTTGCGTTGCATTTTTGCCTTTTTTGTAATCAAATTTTAAAATGTGCCTAAATTCTTAGTCAAATTCATATTAGAAAAACAAATGAAAATCACACATTTTCCTAATTTGAATCAGAAGTTATCATTTTTAAAATGTAATCTTTTAATGATACAGAAACCAGCCAGACACAAATGGTATAGCCAGAAAGATTTTATAACAACTTTATGCATACTATATGCGAAAGTACTTTTGCTTAACCTAATATTAGGTCCTTACATATAAAATTGGCGTTTTGTCGTACTGGCCACTTTAATCACAAATTTAAGAAATGCCGCGGTATTAAAAACCTAGGAGGGTTGGGAATTCCAAATTCAAATTTATACAGCCATTTACACATGTAATATATTCGTAATATTCGACTTTTTGTTCCTCCCAAACCAAACACCAATTTCATATGTAAGGACCTATCCCTCAAATATTGAGGAAAAGTATAGTAAGTTTTGTTAAACAAAGAAAAGTACTGATTCGTTTTCGAGATAATATAAATGAAACAACTTTGAGTTATTAAGCTGCTAATAAAAAGATAATTTTGAAAATCAGTCTACAATTCGCGGAATGATCAGTGAACATACATAAAAAAATACTTCGCCGTCGAATCCTTTTCGATTTTGAAGTCAGGCGCCGGTCGTTCAAGATCAGTACTGCGCGAGTTTGTTTGTATTTGTAATTGGGCTCTTAAGGAGAAAATAATGTATATGTCTTAAAATATTAAACTAAATTTAGGAGCTTACTTCCATCTATTTATGAAAATAATAATTGCGCACCTTGACAATTTTCACAATTGATGCTGCCTCCTTTTCTAAAATAAACAAAACCAATGATTACGTTATTAGTTGTACATATTTTTACTAAAATTTCGTTTTGAGAAATATCACAACATTTTTTTCATTATTATAAATCAGTACTGCTCATTGTACAAACATAAAATTATAAAATGTTCATTACTTTAATGAACATTACCCATGTACAATTTCATGTAACCTTATTAATTAATCAACTGAACAAGTACCTATTATAAACTTTTTCGTCGATAAAATATACTATTTAAACTACAAACAGAATACAAGCATGTGAGAAAGGCAATGAAGTAAAATATAAACACAGATGAGGTATTTAAGATAATTTATTTAAAAAAATAATCTTTTATTCTATTGGGTACATAATATTACAAAACAGAAGTTATACAAAATAATGATTTTATGTTTTTGAGAACACATACTACTCTTTGTTATCATATCATGGACGATAATTATCCGGTAAATTATAATTCATGTTTAGTTTTCGAACCGTTTGATATACACTCTTGAGAATCTAGATCTAAATAATGCGCAGTTATGTGTACACATCCTAAAAGATCAAAATATAATTGTGTTCGCTTTTGTCCCATATAAAAATAGTACTAATATTTATAATTCTGTTACACCTGTTTTATTTCTTTTTTTTTTTGCAACCCAGATGCAAATGCTCTAATGCTCCTTTAATAGAGTTTATTTTAAAATCATAGCAACCGTTGTGAAGAACAGCAGTGAAATTGTTGGTATTAAGAACGATGCGCCCCCTCTAACTGCTTCCAAAATGTCGGTTGCTTTGTCTGTACCCCACTGTTGGTTGACTCTAGCGCTGCTTATGGCATTAAGTCCAACATTGAACTCGGGTACAATTGCTTGGCTAGTTGTCAGCCATTCCTCCATCTGGTAAAAAGAATATCAATTGTAAAATCAATTACATGTCCTCTTACGAGCAACGGGAGGGAAGAGTTAATATCACTGGGCAGCTCTATATCGTATGGGTTCATGGAGAGACACATACATCCCCTGTTTCTTTCCAGCTAACAGGGACATAGTCTAACGTATTTCCTCGATATTAAAAAAAGAATTCATGCGACGAAATGGTTCCAATCTAGGTGTCTTATTTTTTTTACTTTTTTTAAATCTTATTGGCGCCTAAGACTCTGCATTCTTGAATTGTTCATCTTAGTACTACCAACATTGTTCGAAATGTTGAATTTTCATTTATTTCTACGTGAAATCCCTAAAAATCGATAAAGTATAGCAATGAAAATATATTGTATACGTCTACGTATGAAAAGTATATATTCGCCTAATAATAGAAAAAAAGGATAAAAGTAGTTGTTTTAAGTAACCTCTCCCATAATTCGATTATTGGTAGAATTGAAAAATGGAATGTTTAGCATACATTTCAAGACCATAAGTTTCATAGAAATTCAGTCTACTGATAATTCTACTATGTTAGTAGGCACGCGACGAATAATAGCATAAACCTATAATAAATATTAATTATCTGTTTCATCGCATACATATCAAAACATTTTTTTTTTTAGTTTTTAAAAGTATAATTCAGATTAATTATATTTATTTAATTTTAAGGTTATTAATAAGGTTTATATGTTTACAACTACAAAAGATTTTTGTTGAAACTTGCAGAGTTCTCTAAGCTGAATGCTAAGGAAAGCTATATTGGAATCTTTGCTATATGTACGTACATTAACTAAATTTAGCACACGCACAAGCTCATATATTACGTAATGGCTATAGAAAATTTGGTATTTCATTTTTTACCTCTTTCAAACCATCGGTATCCAGATACGCAGGCAAACTTGAAAGAACGCTATTAAATGACGCGGGCAAAACCACACTGAAAACAAAAATATTACATATTTTTTTTACCTTAAAACAGGAAAGTCCTTTATTAATTTTCATATCACAAAATATAACCGTAATATGTCGCATACGACACTACTTTTCTATTTAGGAGATGAATTTAAAAAGTTTCAAATTGTCAACTGGAACTTTTATTTGTCATTGTTCATTTTAAAATAAGAATTTATAAAACAATGTTAGCTGGTTCTTCACGAAACACTTACGCTTTTCGGATTTTTTCCACATTATCTGCGGTCTTCAAATAGTTAAGAAATGCCGCGGCATTTTTAGGATCACCAGCAAGGAGCCAAATAATTGCGTTCAATCTATCTTGAGCCTTGACTTCATCAGTAGTAATCATCCTTAAGTATCTGCAATAAAAACAATATTTTAAAAATAACAGTTTCGACACATAAGGGATGCGTTACGTGATTCTTTCATAATTATCATATTAATTGAATTGACTTAGTTTTACAATTTGCAGATGATAGTCCATTCATTCATTAATAATTTAAATTTAATTAGGCACTATTAATATCATTTTAGGTGCAATGTGCAGGACTTTACACCTAAGCTTTTTGTCAAATATTTGAACTAAGTTTTGAATTAAATCGAAACATATACGAATTTGCCATCATTTGCTTTTAAAAGAGCTTAAAAAGACCTCATTATGTCTCATACGTGAAAATGCATTAAGTTTAAGTATGTTTCAAGGCAATTATTGTTCACTAGAATTATCATCGATAGCGTAATAATGTGTAAGATAATCTTATCATGATAATGAATAATTGTAGTTTGAAATACTTCATTTTCCTTCATATGATTGATAACCTAATTGTGCCCTTTTTATTTAGAATTATATCGTATATTAAAATATTACTAAAATTTAATTTATTTATTAAAATATCGGTCTTATTTTTATTTTTTCTTGAAAAGTTAGATATCTAATTTTAAAATAATATTGTACAATAAAAAAAAAATAGATAAATTCAGAAGTCAGTTGCATTGTGGATCTAGTATAAGTATAAATAACTAATTTCGCAGAACGGTATATTTGTTGAAATTTTAAGTGATTATTTATACGAACAATAATATATTTTACACTTACTCTTGCACTGCATTTTCATTTGTAGAACACCCTAGAGCCCTGAGCATAGCTAGTTCATCTGCTTGATTGTTTGAAGTATTCCTTCGTTCATAAATATAAGTCCAATCTTCAAAATTTCCTTCGCGAAGACCGACACAGAAAACGTGTCGTCTCAAATTAGGATTCACACTAAAATAAGTTTTAGGTTATGAATGAACAATTTCGATCAGTTTGCGTATGTCAAACATTCATCAAAAATCATGTAATATCACAAGGGGGTGTAGTGTGTATTTATTTTTAAACGTGCGATTACTAAATCGAAAAGCGTCGTCAAAAATTAAGATTTTTGTAGGTAATAAAAATACACGATTTGACCATACCATGTATCACCATGAGGGAGGGGGGGTTAAAAAACGCTGAAAAAACACCACGTGATTAATAGACGGCCCCTAAGGATATTTTTCTATTTAGTTGACCTCACCGTACTAACTTATCCATTATATTCTCATTACAATGTAATATGTCCATGCGATAAAGGAAATTTCCTTTTCTCTTAATAAATCCATTACTACGATTGGCATTTACTGCCATAATATAACGGCAAATAGTCACGCATGCTTTTTAAACAACAACCATTACTCACAATCATCGAATATCTTCGTCGGTTTACTTATACCCTTTTGTATAATTAATATTGGCAAAAAGTCTTAAGTAGCATTTTTATATACAATACACATTCAGTAAAGATATACAATACACATTCCGATACAGTAATAGAAAATAGAAAATACTTACGGAGTATCATTGTCGATCAATGCTCTAAATTTCTGTTCAGCATCGGCAATGCAACCGGCATGGCCAATGTTACAAGCGAAGGAAAGTAAGAACAATCTGTTCAAAGTTCTAGTTAAAGGTTCATTTTCAACAACATCATAGCCGACCTCTTTGATAACAGCCTCCAAATAATCATAGAGGATGTTCTAAAAATAAAAAATAAATATGTACACACAGCTGCACGTCTGGTTACCACAATATGTCAAATATCTCCAGATGATTTTAAACTCTACCAAAAAAACACAGATTTGTAAAGCCTGACGTGGTATTGACTGTTCTATAGATATATGAAAATAAGATAAAAAATTTCGAGATAATACATATTTTATTATATACGGAAATTAGCATATCGGTCGGTCGTAGTCGGTCAGACTATCTGTGGTAATAATTTTTCACTTACATCAAACTCAGCTAAATTGAGTGGCATATGCAAAAACCGATTGCGGATCCAGTTCAATCCGGAGATGGCGGGATACCACGAATAATAGCTGGTATCTTGCTTGAGGAACTGAAGTACTTGAAAACCGAGGTTGAATGTTATCTTTTCTGAACGCATAAGAGCAAAGACATCATCTACTATCTGGAACACAAAAGACAGAATAGTTTAAATAAAATAATCATTGCAAATAGCTAGTGTTAAGTAGGTGTTTTCAATTATTAATATATTTTTTTAATGATCTCCACAGCGTAATTACTCGTGATTCAGTTTCAAGGTGTCGCCATATCTAAGGTCTCTGAATATTTAACTACCGGTCAGATTTAAAATAAATTAACTTTTGTATGTTTCTTGGGTTTAGGTGTCATAGTAACAGCTTTTTACCTGGGCTCGATTCATCTTGTCAATATTATTTACATCGTTATTCAATGCACTTGCAATAATTTCCCAGTTATGAACATCGTAATTCACTCTATAAATCCCTGAAAAGATAGTTCTCATAAAATACTAGTTTTTATGAATATTTTTTATGACATAAAGAAATAATACATCATAGTATTTAAAATCAGATAAGTGCTATTCACGTCTAGGAACTTTAAGTAGTTAAGTAAAGAAAAATTCATTCCGAACGTCAGTTACTAGGATTATGTTATTAAATCAAAACTCACATTCTTGAAATATTCTTACCTTTCTGCTTGACATTGAAAATAACCCATTCATGGCCTGGTTCTTTCTGAATCTCGATCGATTTTCCTGTCATTACGCGACTTACGGTCAAGTTGTTCCAGTCAGGATTATTTCCACTTGTAAACGTTAAAGGTATAGGCCACAACTCATCTGTCTGTTGAGCGTTTGCATTTATGTAGAAACGTTCCTGTAAAATAAAGTAAAATTACATTCAAAATATCTTCGTGCTCGCTGCGTTCAGTTATACTTATTTCAAACTTGGCTTTAAAAGTTGAGTTTAAGACAAAGAATATATTTAATGAAAATTTGTTTTTTTTTTTTTACTGCAGTTTTGCTTATGACAAACATAAATTCAAATACATATAATTATTTTTGTTGTTATTTTAGAATTGTCTACTATATTATTTCTATGTGGTATAAGCATATTTTTTATTTAATACATTTTACAGGTACATGGTAGCAATCCAGCGAAAAAGTATAGTTTTAATGTAAATGACCATGAAAGCTTAAAACAATAATATATAGTTTTTGTTATTATATTTCTTTTCAATATTCTTTTGTAGGCTGTTGCTGTTCTACTGTAAGTTTTTTAGAAGAATATTACGATGTTTAAAACTGAAAAAATCTTAGTTGAATTAGTGGAATTTTATTATTGTTATTTTGATCGATACATAAGGTCTGAATTGATGACCGAATGAACTGAAATTCTGTTGATTTTGCTAATCATTTTAGTTTATTTTGCTACACAATACTTTAAAAACGTAATTGTCGAAGTATTTTTTTAAGAGCTTATTATTCATAAGGACCAAAACGAAGATATTTTTTTATTTTATTTCGTAAAGTTGTTTTTAACAAATATATATTTTATGCAATGAGCTATTTCATTTATAGTTTGTTAAAACTAATGGAATTTATTATGCCGGACAATAAAATAATATTTCTTAAAATTGCTTCCTGAAAAGGAATTAATATTTACTATTTTAAATCGTGATTATCTCTTTTATTTTTAACTCTTCATTTCAGTTTTTATAACACATATCGTTATTAAAATAATTTTGCATTATAAATACAACAAAACACAATTTAAATTTTAGGGAATTCAGTCTAATTTCTTATATTTATGAATGCCGGTGAATTTATAAAATAAAAAATTTCAATAGTTAGTGGATTTATAACTTTTAAATTTAGTAGTTCAAAAGTTAAAAACCAAATTATATGGTACTCATTTAATGTATATCTGCTATAATCATCTGACAGGTGATGTAAAAAGTGAGTCAAATTTGGAAATAATAATTGTTTACTATAACAGTTATTGCACCTCAAACCTTTAAAAACTGTTCTCTAATGTATTTAGATATCCATATGTTCTTTGCAGCCATCGATTTTATAACCCATTAAATAATTACCTGAGTCAATGTCATAAGACCAGTATTCATGTTGACATTAACTGTAAGAAGGGGATATCCCGGCTTGTCTACCCATGTGTCCATGAATGATGTTATATCAAGACCATCAATTTGTATGTTATCTTGAATTGTAGCGTTATCGAAAGCCCGATACAAATCTTCAGGGAAGGCATGCTCGTAAGCTCTACAAATGGAAATCAGTTAAATTTCGTCATCACCAGCCTATGATCCTAGTGCTGGGGCTTTAGCTTTCTCTATGGATGGAATCGAATCAAATCGCATAGGGAGTAGTTTACTGAAGCTTAAATTAGACACATAATATAGTAACAGTTCGAGAAATTATAAAATTTTGAGTTACACGTTTTTATTTTGATCGAATGCAGATTCTGTACATACATTAATTCTAAGATATGACTTTGATATTGAAGTTATATCATACAAATCAGTCAGTTACCATGTTTTTGTAAACAGGATACTCCAAAGACAAAATTGTGAGTTTTTTTAAATGTAAGTTACTTTACCTGTCGAGTAAAAATAGGTTTAATGCTTTCTTGAACGTATCTTCTGTGACCAAATGCTTCAACATAAGCAGTAGTGAAGCTCCTTTAGAATAACTTATTCCGGAGAAATGACCGGTCACTTGAGTTGGACTGTTTACGGTGTGACGCAAGGCTCTCGTGCCGCTAGTCGCATCCACAGACAAAGCACTTTGCAAATACATAATATTAAACTGATCTTCAAGTTCCAGTTTCTCATCTATCTGTAATAGAATATGTAAATTAAAAAAAAAGATATAAAACATTCTAATTTTTCCAATAAAAATATAATTCTGCTCAACAATATTTAATTACGCAATTGAATATGGTTGGATTTGTTATTTAATTTTTACTTTAATTTTGTACCAACGGCCGTGCCTTAAATGTGCCGTCCCAAGCAAGAGAAAGAACAATATGTTTTGCTCACACATATTGCAGCTATCGAGCACACGACGATTGTTGAAACTTGCAGAGATTTAACTTCATTTTTATTAATTATTCTTTATGCGCTTGAGATACTCACCCCATGCATACCGAAGTACTCGAAATAACTAGCAAACCCTTCGTTGATCCAAACGTTGTCCCACCATCTACAAGTTATGTAATTACCAAACCACTTATGGGCCAGTTCGTGTGCTGTGATAGTTCCAATGTACATCTTATCCAATGCGTTTGTTTCGTTTTCGTCGTAAAGCAAACGAAGTTCTCTGCAAATAATAGAATTAATAAACTCACGATCGATATTTCGTTCAGTCATTTATGTAAATTAGATGTTCAACCGTGACGACACAGACGATCTATACATAATATAAAACAAAGTAGCTTCCCACCGTCTGTAAACTAAGATCTTTCGAACTACATAACGGATTTTTATACGGTTTTCATCAATATACAGAGTGATTCAAGAAAAACGTTGATATCGTGGGCATCAAACCAAATGAGTGTATAAGCTACCCTTACAAATAAACATAACTATCGATCATATGTCGAAAAGTGTTTCACTTATATCTTTTTGTGTCATTTGCATTTAATTGATATAAATTAGAAAAGATTGGCGTAGTAAAAAAATATGCCCTTCTGCCTTGAAGCCTGCAATATTTATAATACAGGACCGGCGGATAGTTAGTAAATAATAATAACGAACCTATATGTTACCAATCCCCAATTCTCTGTAGCACCTGATGCCCAAAATGGTGAAGCAAGTTGATCATTCCTAATACCATCAGCCATATCATAGTAATTGATTCCGAAGTAGTTATCAAACCATTCGGTAAGCGGGGGGCCCACTTCTAAAGCATATTTTCCTTGATTTTCAGCAGTCGGTCTTGCAATTATACGATAAGATTTTACGTCGTCGTCATTATCAGCTATAACTTTAAATCCATCACTAATATGAATGGAAATTAGGTACGCCGACATTCTTGGTGTAGTGCGGAAAACTTCTTTCACGCGATTATCTTCTGTACTGTAAATTGGAAGTATAAATTTAGTTCTTACATAGATAATTGCTTCAATGAACCAACTAAGAGATATATTTATGTTTTAATTATTTCCCATTATAATCCACTTTATAAATTTATATTTTCTTTTCACTTACTCTGTTTCGCTTAGTAAAGGCATATTTGAGAAAGTTTGGGCGAAATTAATCGGCCTATTCACTGTGATATTAAAAGTAGATTTGAATCCCGGCTCATCAAAGCTTGGAAATAGTTGTCTTGCATGCGTGGGCTGCAAGTGAGTTGCTGAATACCAACTGAAATAAGTAAAAATATATTATAATATATTTTATACTATATTTATATGTAAAGGTTAATATAGTTCAAATAACACGTTTTTTTCAGATAAGTTATTTAAAATTAACTTATAAAAATAAAGTATAAGCTTTATCATACCCGCACAAGGCCAAAGTATTATAAAAGAAACTATATTATACAAAAATACTGTTTTTTACGATAACCAGCCCGGCAATCGAACTCGAGTGCTAAAAAGTTCACTTCACATTTGACTGTGGAAGTCTTCGAACTTAGCTATTTGTGATGCATTGCTATACACACTCAAATTATAAAGAGGAAACATTTGACTGTTTGTTTGCATTGAAGAGGCTCCAAAATTGTAAGACCGATTTCAAAATTCTTACATTACATTACATCATACGCGGGTGACACAGGCTAATATAATTTACGAGAACGTACTTTTGAAAAAGCAGCCAAAATCATAACATATGCATCTAACCATTGAACAGTTACATAAAAAAACTCACACAGCAATGAACATTAAACGCAATGATGAATATTATGGCTCAATTAATGTAAATGAGCCATAATTCTCATCTTACTTTAAAAATACTTACTGAACTCCACCATTTATATCCTTGTAATAACCTCGAAACATTCCCCTTGAAAGTGGTGTTTCATTAATATTTCCAATATATACCACACTTAATATGTATAAGCGTCCATTTTCAAGAGTGATTCCTTCCCTCAAGTTGACTTTCAGAAAATGGTACTCACGGATACGTTCATAACCATTAATCTCATTAGTTAAAGACTCACCAGTTTCAAAATCAGTAAGCTCAACGGATATTATTTCTCTTACATTATCTTGAACTATTACACTGTTAAGATTATTTTTTATAGCCTGAAACATTCATTAAATTAGTCTACATTTCTAAACTTAAAATCAACGTAAAATATTATCTAGATTTAAAATCGATTTGCTGATAAAAGATTAATAAGACCGTCATTTTATTATTTACCAGCGATAATACAAAAAATATTAAATGACGCCGTTATAATAAAATAATAATATTAATACATCACTTAAAAATGGAAAAGGTACAATTTTACTTACTCTTATAATTAAAGTTGCTTTACCATCGAAGGTGAATGGTTCTTTGCCTGTAGGGGCTACATCGTAATAAGGAGTAATTTCAATGTCACAATGTACAGGATCTAAATCTTCGGGAAGACGATATAACTCATCATCATTCTTTGTATTGAAACTTTCTACCTCCAAGTCTGTATTATAATCAAAAGGGAACTCTGATTTGGCCAGTGATAATAGTGCTAAGGCTACAACAACTTTTGTGAGAGCCATTTTGCTGAAACACAGACAAACTACATCATATAATGGTAAATTAATGTATATCATTCACATTTATTTTATAGTTATAGGTACAGCAACATCTAAAATAAATCAATAAATAGAGGCCAATGTAAATAATTCATTTCAAAATTATTTTTATCCCTACACAAATAATATTATTGGTATTATGTTTTGGTGATGGAAGTTTTTCAACAATTATTGTTTGGCATTGGATTATTTGTTGAATTCGAAAGTTCAGTAGGATCCCGAACGGAATGGATTATTTAAAAGAATGTTATACAAAGATAAGTATTCAAATTCATTTATTCGGTTCATGAACATAGGACACTAAAATATAATAATTAATCACATTACTACATATTAGAATAAACATTAGATTAAACGTACAATTACAAACAATAGGATATTTAACATTATTCAACATTCAAATATTAAAATAAGTAGCATATTAGGGATCTGTAATGAGACATGTAACAGGTATCAGCTGCTACAACTTATTATGCTTGGAAAAGATAATAGGAAAGACGTGTGGGTCGGAGGATAAAAGCGTGGCTTAATATCAGAGAAGAGGCACGATATGAAGAAAAAGATAGAGCCGCATGCTAAGTGTGTGTGATTTTTGTAACTTATTTTTATTGGTAAATGATTCACCAGCTGTTATTGGTTTATCAACTAATGAAATGAGCTCACAAAAATCGCACACACGTTATCCAAAGTATATAAAATACAACAAAAAATATAAACGATTCCAAAACAACTTACAAATGTCAAATTCAGTAATATTCAAAAAATAATTGACTTTAAAAGAGAGATATATATTCATATATATGCTTTAGTCGCTTTATTAGTAATTAGTACTCACAATCAACTCAAAATGGATTCTATTTTGTTTAAAGCAAATGCACTAGCAAATGCAAATACACAAATACTAACATATTAAATTTTTAGGTTTGGGGCGGTCCCCCGACGCGACGTATTTTCTTTTAGTACATATTTGGGTACTTTAAGATTGAGTTTCTTTTATTACTTTTTAAAGGGAACTTAGGTTTTTATGTAAGGGCTTCTTTAATTTTTTGTACTTTTTATATGTACATACTTATAATAATGTAGATTATTGTCGAAAAGTTTCAAATTTATATTTAAGGTAAATATTAGCTTCTTCGCTTTTATTTTAATTATTAATTGCTAGTTTTTGTTTGTATAACAAATAATTGTTACTTGATGTTTATTACTTAATGTCTTCAACTCTTTGATATAATAATTTTCTTATCAACCGAAGCTAAGAACATTCTCGATTAAGCCATGAATATTCTCTTTCAGTACGCTTTCGTTTGAGACCTCACTCGAGTGTATTTACAGGCATTGGGTTATTCTTCCCCACTTTCAGCCCCAAACCTTTTAAACAGATCTACCGATTTTCATCAAACATGTATAAGAATACTCGCACATAAGTCACCTTTAACACAAAAAAAATGTAATCACTTCCTCCGTTCGGGTTCTATGATGCCACTGATAGAGAGACATACAGACAGATACGTCAAACTTATAACACCCTTCCTTTTGTGTCGGGGTTTAAAAAAATTGGGTAATAATGGCTTAATTAGCTCACATAAAATGAGCTAATTAACCTTGAAGCAATTGCAACTTAAAACCATTATAAAAAGGGAAATAGAAATGCCTACCTTGTATTTCCTTATCTTAAATTATAAAACCTGACTATGAAAAACACGAAACAAAAAAATTGTTTATCTGAAAATATGTAAAAATATATATAAAAAAATCAATAAATATACGTGGTATACTTACATTGCCTTGCTCTCACCATAAAATGAGTTCAGTTATTTTCCGGCACAATATTAAATTGACTCTTATTTAGATTACTTAGAGATAAGATATAAATAATAATTATTGTAATTTAACTATGAAAAATTATAGATAAGCGAAATATATTGATATATTGATAAACATCCGTTTTTCAAATGGCCTGGCACTGAGATAGTCAAGCTTTAAGCATTATTTGTTGCATGACTCGTTATTCAGCAAATGCTAATGATATATATACTTCATATACGCGTTTACAAAATTAGGAACTGAGGAAACTTCAACTATTTTTTAGCTAATCAGAACGAAAAGTATCTAGAGAGCGGTGATCATAAATGTCGAAAGAGCATGATAAGAGACCCGAGCTAATTTTGAATTTAATACGATATTGTAAGACGATAGTTATAAAAAAATGACAAATTAGGTTTATATATTTTTATGGCTTAAGACCTCAGCTATATGTACCAATAATTACTATTTTGGGTGATGACATTTTTTTGTCTTTCCGTCTGGTAGATTATTGAAGCATATCAAAGACATTATAGTTGTGAGGTAGCAAAACCCCATTCCTCAACTCTAATAGATACTATCTAAGCCATTTCTCGTTAAATTAATGCAAAAAAATTTTGATTTATTGGAGTCTTAAGTGAACATGGAATCCGTGAAGGGCTCGAAAACTCGTGAAATCAAATATAAACGCGATTCAAAATAGTTTTATTTAAATATTTTCTTTGTTATCTGACTATAGAATTTACTTTTGTAACCCAGTTATTTATTACCCCATACTGATTGTTAGGTTATAGTCTGTGTTACTAGTTTTACACTATTACAATAGTGTGACGTTAAAGTAACATAGAACATAATAACAATTATTCTAATAACATTATTAACTAACTATTCTTGCATTATATTACGATTACATATAGGGCAGAAAGCTATGTTTTGTTTACTACTCCTGTTTTGTTCATGGCGTGGTAGTTAAATCTGCGCTCAATTTGCGAGAAGGTTGTTAAGCAACTTTCGCAAAGGGTGGCCATAGGATGGGTGACCGAATATTTATTATTTCGAGTTCCTTCGTGCTTCGGAAAACACGCTTAGCTGCATATACAGTCGTTAACATCCACCGATCCCACTGGGTCTACGCGGTGATTCGATAAAATTGAGAAAGTCAAGAGATATAACTGTAGAGTGTGTATTAATCAATGCATAGTTTAGAATTATAGTGTATACAAATACATATAGGGTATTTACATAAAAAAAAAATTATGTATCGCTGGCGCGACGAAGTCACTTAGATTTTTTTGCTGTGAAGAATGCTGGTCGTATCATCATCATCTTCATTTCAATTAGAAAACATCCACTGCTGGACAAAGGCCTCCCCCAAAAATCGCCACGTCGCTCGTTTGCGCGCGGTCCTCATCCAACGCTTTCCGGTAATGCTGACCAGACAGTCGGTCCATTGTGTGTAAGGCATTTGACAGGGTTTGGCACAAGGGACTTCTCTCCAAGCTTCCGGCCTACGGTCTGCCCGTTCAACTCTGCACCTGGATAGCCGACTTCCTGCGTGAGCGTAAAATCCGTGTTCTTTCTGACGGATGCTCTTCACAGCTTATGTCAGTCAACTCCGGTGTGCCTCAGGGCTCCGTTCTATCCCCTACACTTTTTCTGCTGCATATCAATGACATGCTTCCACTTGGAAATATCCATTGCTATGCAGACGATAGCACAGTGCATGTGGGATATCACGGGGCTCCTACAGTCGGACGGGCGGAAATCCTGGAGAAAAGGGAGAATCTTGTCATTGAGCTCAATCACGTTCTGGATCTCATATCGAAATGGGGTGCTGAAAATCTGGTTGAGTTCAATGCCAAGAAAACTCAGGTTTGCGTATTTACCGCCAAGACCCCTCCATTCCCTTCCCTTCCCTCTCTTCAGGGCACAACCTTGCCTCTACAGAGCAGCATCAACATGCTCGGGATGGAAGTGCGCTGTGATCTGAATCCCAAAAACCACATCGAGTCCGTTATTAAAACAGCATCTCGTAAACTCGGTGTCCTGAATAAGGTGCGGCGTTTTTTCACGCCCGAACAACTGTGCCTGCTATACAAAACGCAGGTCCGGTCATGCGTGGAGTATTGCTCGCACCTTTGGGATGGCTCCGCTAGGTACTTACTCGATGCTTTGGATAGATTGCAGCGCCGCGCAGTACGCATTATTGGCAATGGTGAAGTCACCAAGAACCTAGAAAGCCTGCAACTGCGCCGAGACGTTGCTTCGCTCAGCGTCTTCTACCGTCTCTACCATGGTGAATGCTCTGAAGAACTCTTTTCGCTTATCCCTCCATCTCTCTTCCTCCTCAGGACCACACGTGCTAGTTTGCGTTGCCACCAACTAACTGTGGCAGCGATTCCTTCGCGTACAAAGAAACTTGGCGACTCATTTCTTTGTCGTACTACCAAAAAATGGAATTGTCTCCCGGCCCATGTATTCCCTCCTTCCTATGACATGGGGTCCTTCAAGCGGGGCGTGAAGAAGCACCTTGCAGGTCGGCAAGGTGAGGTTGGCTAGTGCAGTACCTACGTACTGTTTTCACTAGCTGTCCTCACGTTTGGACTGCGCCTCCGCTTACCATCAGGTGGAGCGCAGTCATTTGCCCTCCTATACATAAAAAAAAAAAAAAAAAAAAAGGCCTACGTTCTGTTTTCTGGTCCCTAGCTATATGTTCTACGAGCTATGTACCTTGTCCAAATTTTTTGTCCAATGTTGGTCACGTTAGTTCGTCTGTGAATCTCCTCGTTTCTGATTCGATCTTGCAGAGAACTTCCATCGCCCTCTGGATGACTCTAAGCCTCAGACAAAATCCCTCACAACAGCTAGAGAGCGTATTTTGTATTCATTAAAATTCGGAAAAGAGGAATTTCTTTGGTCAACGGGTATGTATATTCTTTATGTAAGTAGGTACATCGATTTTTTTTATTGCATTGTGAACCAATTTCTATAAAAATAGCTGTATCCCCACGACTTAGCTTGTGTAAATTATAACCTATGTCCCCGCATATTACGTATATTTTTAAAGGAAGTTTTAAAAATGGTGGAATAGTTTCGGAGCCTATCCAATGCAAACCACCAGACAATCAGATCTTTCCTATTTATAATATGAATATACCTTATTTTAAAAGCGATTTATTAATTATTGAAAAACAGATCGTTTTCGAAAAAAAAGTTATATATAACCATTTAAGACCTATACAATCGATTTATAAATGGAAATAATGCATGATTCCAAGTTTTATTTTTCTTAATATTCGGGAGATTTATCTTATAATGTCAATATATTACAAATCATCCTGTCAACACGAACAGTATTTTTAGCGCAGTAAGAAAGAAATACTTCTTTCATCCCCCTTCTGCGCCATACGTACTAGCCGAACCAGTACAAGTACAAGCAACGATACAAACAATTATATGCATCTAATGTTGTATTTATAAAAATGGTTGTTATTTCGATTATAACTTCATAGTTACATTAAATGCTTAAGACTTACAAAGTCACTGCCTAAGTAGAAATAATGTAAGTTTTATTTTTCAACTTACGAACTGGGAACTAGTATCTTTATTCTTGTCACTAAAACACTGACTTAGTTCCTAAGAACATGATCTTCGTATGTCTTATAATTTCAGACCTTTCGATATTTCTTCATATTACACCATAGGTATAGTTGTTTGTTTATCTTAACCTTTTATCGGAAAATAAAACATTCTAGCTTAGGTACTACTGCATTTCTATTTCGAACACATGAATACCATACAACGAGCATTGCGATGCGTCGTCTCAACTTTTCTTTACTTCTTTACTCTATATAGACACATTGCTTTCCAACAAAACATAGAGCTGTGGTGACTACGACTATGGTAAATTATCGACACCATAATTATTATAGAATGTTAAAAATGCACGTCATAAGTAGTTTTAATGTTCTTTCTAATAAAATGAATGGAATGAAACTGACATTTGTGACTTTATCTTAATCACTAATATTATACACGTCTAATATTTAGTCTAGAATTCACACATCTCTTGATTCTCTTTACTTAACCCGTAATAGATCTAGCGTAAATATATGTACATACCTATAGATTCATAAGATGGTTTTATCAGTGAACCTGTCATTGAACAAACTTGAACTAGTCAAAGCCCCGTTAGATGACAGCACAATAAACAGTAGCTCCGTGCATAAATAAACAAGAAAAACGATATTGAAATGTTGAAAGTTCTAAAATTACTAATATTGGTCTTCTGAAGATAAATAAAACAAAGAACTAAAACAAAGGTTTATTGAGAGTTGTTAGTGATAAATTATTTATTGAACAATCGCAACTTAGAAATCTGCGAATAACATTTATGCAGCTAAAATAAAAATAGCTAAAAGTAAACCTTGAAAGCACAAAATGTCGTTAACAATCCAAGTTAACAAAAATTTAGAATTTGCTACTGCTCTACTGGGTGACCGACTGCTCTAACAGTCTGCACATCAGTTGCCCATATTGCGGAAGGTCATGGGTTCGAGTCCCATCTCAGAGTGCCAGGGACAAAGTGGATACATAAGCATTTTTCATTAGGATTTTTTTTTCGGTAAAGCATTGTGAAAGCAAGCAAAGTGATCAAATAACACAATTACAATTTGCAATTGAATTGAACAAATATTATAAAAAAGATGATTTTACAAAACTTTGTTTTTATATAATTGTTATAACAGTAGAGATTATAATTAAAATAACAGATATAGCAGTAGTTGCAGCTCCACCTCTTGCTGCAGACAATATGATATCAGCATTAGCAGTACCCCAAGCGATGTTGGCACGAGCTGAGTTAATAGATGCAAGTGCACTACTGAACTGGGCAGTATCAGACTGCGTACTGCGAAGCCAATTTTCATACTAAAATATAAAGTAAACAATTATCAATTAATCAATTTTAGACTTTATCGATTAAAACATTTTCATAGTATAAAAAAGCCATGCTATTCTTTATTAAAATAATAGACTGAAAAAAGCTGTTGTTATATTTGTATTCCTATGCTAATTTTGCGAAAAATTCGTCAAATTAAACAAAAACACATAATTTTAATAAAACCTATGATTGGTCTCCGCAAAATAAATAAGCATCATCAGTTTAAATCTTCTACTATAATGTTCTAATCTAAACTAACCAAAACCTCTTGCCGTCTGATTTTTGGCAATGATTAGGTACTCATAAATATTTCATTTATGAGCACTTACTATAATATATGTGATAGCACTTTTTTCTGATCTGCCAGTAAAAATAAGTTTGTATTTTTAACGAATTTCATCATCATCATCAGCCCTTTTACGTCCCCACTGCAGGGGCTCAGGCCTTCCTTATGGATGGTTAAGGAGGATGGGCCATGACCCTCCATGCTAGCCCAATGCAGATTGGAGGGTATTAACGACTGCAAATGCAGCCGGGACCAACGGCTTAACGTGCCCCCCGAAGCACGGAGTAGCTCGAGATAATAATTTTTTGGTCACCCATCCCGTGACCGACCCTTGCGAAAGTTGCTTAACGACAACGATCGCGGGTCGCGGCACTTATCCACTACGCTACCGAGCTACGGCGCTTATCCACTACGCCACCGAGCTTAACGAATTTATTAATGTCGTAATGGTAATACTTACATCGGCTAGACCTGGTTCATTCAAATATGAAGCAAGATTGGACAAAGCAGAGTGTACAGGATTTGGTGGAGAATCTTCAACATATCTATGAAAATCAAATCAAGATTATAATATTACTAGTAATAGACATGATTATTAGCAGGAAAATGAATATAAAATAATAGAAACTAGTTGCAAAGTCGCACTTTATGAATTTTATATTGTAAAATAATGGTATATCGGTTAAGTCATGTAACTATTCACAATAACCCTTTTATTTTCTTTATGTAGAATAAAGTACCTTTACCTAAAAATAAAATTTTGACAAAAAGAAATTCTGCTAAATATTGGCTTGTCATATTTGTTTCATAAAACTAGGACTTCCACATTGTAAACGTAAAAAAACTTAAGTTATTGAGATATAATCAGTTGAGATTATGTACTTTTCTCAATTCAGAAATCAGCTGTTAGTCTCCTCTTTAGGAGTCTGGATCTGTAGTATGTGATAACTTCGTTGTTTGAGATTTCAATGACACAAGAATTTAAACTATTTAACTGGGATCTGTGCAACACATGTAATATTGTCTTAAACTCACTTTTAGTTGCACCATCAAAGCATCGGCTCAACATGATTCTACAAAAGTAAAAGCTGAATTCTATGTAAATGAAGAAGATGACACACTTATGTTCAGCTGAAATAATGTTGGTAAAGTGTATTTTTTCCTAAATTTGATTTACTTACTGTATCCTTATATCATCTATATTCTCTTTAACGAATTCTAGAACGGTATTAGCATTATCTTCGTGACCAAGAAGAGCATAGTTAAACGAGTTCAGTTTGTCATGGGACCTCACATTTCGAGTAAGTGTTAATTCAAGGTATCTGAAAAACAAATATTTGATTATTATCAAGCTGATATTCAATCTTAAATTTCTATATGATATTACCAAACAGATTATTTCAAATATTTCCGAGATCCTTAAAGGTTTTTGGTATGTAATTGTTTTGTTATAAGACTTTTCTGTATATTTTCTTTTCTCATTTTTATTTTATTGAATATATTTGTTATACAGAGACATTGAGTTGGATACTATAATAATATGAATTTCATATAATCTTTAGGTATATAGGTAGGTATGTAGTTAAGTTTGGGTAATAGGTATATGTAACATTTATATGTACTTATAGTTTATTTTGAGTCAGCGCAATATGTATTCTTCTTCCATTCTTCTTTCATTCTTCTCAATCATGCACCATCTAAAATTTACTCTTTTCTTACACATTTATCATCATTCACACAATATTTTTATGCAACATAAACGAGTCGAATGAAACCCTGATATCTTGATTTTACCATGATAGGCAAATATAATGAGTATAGAAGAAATAAATCAAAAGATTGCTTGGGACTTTATTGTAGAAACGCACACAATGACTTTAAATCAATTATCATTTTTTTCGAAGTTTATATTTACTGATTCTTCACTTCTATTCTCGTCACTCCACTCATCGATCCTAGGATACGCATTACAGCCAAATGCAATATATTTTCTTCCCCCCTTTTAACTGCACAGCCCTCCACTTTATACAAGACAATATGTTTTATTCCACTTCCACATACTGAAGTATCACCCGTCAGCACTCTTCCACATTTTTGTCACGAGCTCTTCCACGATCTACTAGTTCCCGTAATCTGTTATCTATTTTGATCCTTTCTGAGTTAATTTTTTGATTATGTTACACTTGTTGCATAATTTATAATTTATATTAAATTTGTTGCATATCCATCCATCAAATCGTCTCGTCTAGAGTGACCGGTACAGGGTAAGAAAGACTACCGAAATCTCCGAATATTTACGTAGTAATACAGTATTTTCATTGTGTTATTTTAACTAATAAAATATCATACTACCTTGTCAGCAGTGTTGGATTTTTGGTGGCTCCTAAGGCTCTCAACATTTCCAATCGGTCATTAGCGATATTAGATTTATAGAATAGATCAAGGAGAAAATCAAAATCTTCTGATTCACCTTGTCTGATGCCGTTCATATATACGTTACGTCGAATACGGCGATCCACACTGTGAACAAATTCCATAAACTAAGATTAATAAAATTTCTTATGTCATCATACAGTTTATTTTTTCTGTACTTGATAGTGATAATGGACTCACTGTTATCATCAATTGAAATGTCTTGAACGTTTTCTGATCAGGATATTACTTGTGACTGTTTCTCATCAGTGGGGACAAGTCTTAAATTATTAAAGAGGCTTATATTCTTCAGAATAATTTTTAACATTAAGTTTGCTGGACCATCTTTCATAATACTATGATTTTTTAATCTTTATTTCTAGTAGAATTCGAAACACATAGTAACCATTTTTTAGTTAGTAATTTGTAACAAAGGACATAATTTTTTATTAGGTATTTAGTTTACTCATCATCAAATGAGTAATCTTTATGAATCAGTCTTCTGTTAAATAGTAAAATATTAACTGAAAAATATTCTTAATTAACAATGCTTAAAAAATCCACTTTATCCCCAGGGATAAAGTGGATTTTTGGAAAAGAGTGCCAGAACTCTGAGATGGGATTTGAACCCGCGACCTTTTACAATCCGGACGACTGCTCTAACCATTTAGCTACTCAGAACCATACAGGACTGACGAATCTTTCAAGCACTTGTTATTTTTTCACTACTACAAACCGTATTTTACAAAGTGGATTTTTTAAGCATTTTTCTAGTAAAATATTGTTTTAGCAATTTTCTTACACAGTAGAATTAACACGCATATCCATGAATCTCCGTGTAGATTCCTCAATGCACTTCATATGGAAAAGATTACAGGCAAACTGCAAAACTTCCTGTCGCAACATGCTCACAGTAGGGGTCTCTGTTGATGACGGTTCGTATCCGACGACATTGATCACGTGCTCCATGTAGCTAAGAATAATAGACTGTAGAAGAAAATAACATCCCCGTACACATTAAACAATTTCAATATACTTAAAATGTATTTCTTATAGAAGTGATGCGAGAAAATAGGATTCTCTTTTAACTTTATGCAAGTGATAGATATGAAACCGATGTGCTTAATTTCATTGGCAGTTATGTTGAATTTCAAGTAATATATTTTAATAAAATAGCGATTAGACTAAATATAGGTTCTTTTCACTCAAGAATAAGCCTTAAATGACTAATAGGTATTTTTGTATTTTTTCTTATAATTACTGCTTTTTCTTTGAATTTAAGCTCTTTTTAGACTTCACATATTATTGTTAATGACTTACATCGAACTCTGCTTGACTGTCAGGCAAATGTCTTAATCTATTTCTAAGCCAAGTGAATCCAGATATAGCAGGATTCCAAACATGGTAGTTGTCTTCGTTGCGGAGAAATCGAAGAATGCTAAAACCTTGATCATAACTCATTCTGCCTGATCTCATAAGAGCAAACACATCATCGACTACCTGAAATCGAATAAAATTAACACTGAGTACAAGAAAAAAAATCAGATATCTAAACAATAAACACATTCCGTCATTAAAAATACAGTTTAACCTGCTAACAAAAATTCTACAAGCGTCACATTGCTTTGATATTAATTTTTAAATATATCAATTTTACAGTTTTTGTGTTTTTTTCTAATTCCGATGTTTTTTAATCAGGGCCTATTCGTAAATCGACATTCAATATCGTTCTCTGTTTCCTGTTTTAACTTATAAATTTTAAAGATTTAGTATTCCGTGTCGTTTTTCCTTCGTGAAAGTACTCCGCAGCCAATTGGTCAACCACACTTCGACTTTACTTCTCAGGACAGGTTTGACGATATATCGAAATTAGTTAAATAGAGTACAAATATTGTTTTTCCGGATCTGAAAATATCACGCAATCATTTAAATAAATCTATTACTCACTTGGGCTCTGTTCAGATGATGTATAGAATCTCGGTCATTTTCCAAAGCCTCTGCTATTAAACTCCATGTTTTATCATCGTATGTTACTCTATAATGTGCTAAAATTAGATAGTGTTTGATAACATATAAATTCAATAATATAGAAACACATTTTTTGCAGATAAATTGTAAAAATTAAAATAGGAAGTAAAATTGACTGTTATTAAGTAAAAAAAAAGTCCAACCCTTTTAGTATTCATAATAAGGATGATCACTTTTTGTTTTTCTTTCCGTCGGGTAAATTATTAAAGAATATCATAAGTATGCGGACATATTGTGTTGTAACGTCGCAGTACTGCAAACGCGTTATGACGTAAAGAGCCCCCATTCTTCAACTTTAAATTCTATTATATAAGCCGTTTCTTTTTAAATTGAAATAAACAGAAAACGTATCTTATATTTTCCTTTTCTATCTGATTTTTTAACCAGTATTCACGTCATTACATAAAATAACATATTTAATAACAATAATGAGACTGTGTACCAACCCTGTTGCTGGTGGTTGAAAATAACCCACTCTTCACCACTGGCCTTTTGTAACACCATTTGCTCGGTGCTCATCATATCAGACGGTTTCAGTTGTTCAAAAATTTTGTTTCTTCTGGTAGAGTAAGTTATGGGTATTGGATAAACTTGGCCAGTGGATTCAGCTGATGCACTTAAGAAGAAGCGTTCCTAAATAAATAAATTGTAATATTCTTGGAAATTAAATTTTGGTACATGCGTTTCTTGTAAACGATAAGATACATTTAGCTGTTATAACTATGTTCGTTCCAATAAAAAAGTAGGAGAGCTCGGGAAATCAAAGATTTCAGCGAAAATTTGGGTTTTTATATATCTGTTAGATCTGCTAGTATCTATTAAAAAAAAAACTATGTTGAAAACTTATTTTTTGTATTAAATTATTAAAGACTATACTAATGTAATGTAGTTTTATTCAGAGACTGATTATTTAATTAATAAAATATGAAAATTTGCTTCCTCTTATATTCAGGGAACGGTGAAAATATATGCAAGATACTTTTTAACTGACTTCAAAACGGAAAAGAAAAAATACCAAATACTTACCACCAACACTTTGAAAAGATTAAATACTTATATTTAGGTAAATCGCAATTTATTAAAAAAAATACTTACTTGTCGTAGCGCCATTTCACCAGTTGAATGGTCCACATTGACGATTAAAATAGGGTAGCCCGGTTGATTTACCCAAATATCATAATACTGAGTGAAATTGAAATGAAGATAATCTGATAAAGTCCCGTCTTCTGTTACAGCATCATTAAATGCTTTGAACAAGTCATATTGATCTGTAGCTTGATAAGGACTAAAAAGAATAAATACTTATATTAACACCAATAACCACAATCATTTGTGTAAGATAAAGATGTAAAGTAAGTTGTAGTTGAAATTAAAAGATTTTGTCTTTTTTTTCAGCTTTTTTAAGAACCCTTTTCAAAATCTAATAATGTTTTCAATAACATTGACTAAATGTCTGGTCTTACTTGTTTCTCAAGAAGTATTGACAAGATTTTCTAAAGGTTTCCGGCGATATCATATTAGCTGTCATTCTTAAAAAGGCAGCTGCTTTAGAGTAACTAATAGTTCCGAAGTGGCCAGTAACTTGGGCAGGCGTATTAACGTCATGATTCAATGGTACAGTGCCAGTACCCGAATCAAATGATAAAGAAGTCTGAAGGTAACGAGAATTGAAGTGTTCATGTAATTCATATTGCGGGAACACCTAAAAAATCAAAAACAAAATCATTACGCTTTTGGTCAATAGAAGATCAGTTTTGATCAAATAGAGAAGCTCAAGGGCACAATGTTTAGTGCTATCGGTCTGCAGACGAAGGCAAGGCAAATGTTGGGCCGGTCATAGGGTGGATAACTATAGCTTTATTATCTTGAACTCCTCCGAACTCCGTGTCGAACATAAGGCACGTTAAATGGGCCTGGCTACATATGCATCTGCACTGAGCCCGAGTGGTAGGTTAATGGCCTGTTCTCATACTTCCATAGCAGTGAAGGCAATAGGTTAATGATAATACCGATGAAATAGAAGATCATTTCCTACATCGTTTCACCACAAACCTACAGAGACAGTGATGCCAAACTTAGCATATTTGCTTCTCAGCTACGAAACTCATTTTAAGATTGTAATAATGGTAGCATAGCATAAGTTCAATTAAATGACTATTGTACCTGATGAGTAGCCATGTATCCAAAGTAACTGGCATAACCTTCGTTGATCCAAGTGTTACTCCACCAGTAGCAAGTGATTAGATTTCCAAACCACTTATGTGCCAGTTCATGGGAAACCAGAGTGGCTGAATAATGTTCCACCGACATAATTGTTACTTGACTATCGATAATTAAATACAATTCCCTATAAGTAAATATACCTCTCAATTAGTTCAAAAGAAGTTCATGAAAGAATAATTCAGAAATATTAATTATCCCTTGAAAATGTTGAGAGGCTATTATATATTATATGTTCTCATAGCTAATTGATTAACTAATTTACGACTGAAATAATGATTGAGATCAGAAAATAAATACAGACTTTTTATTTCTGTACTATACATAGTATCCAACGGAAATATAAAAATAAAAAAATACAAACTTTTACAAGTAAATACTGTTGACATACTTTTTATTTTAGATTTACATTGTAATAAATAAAGCAGGCAAGATATATAATGAGAAATTCTTGTGTATATTTGAAAGATTCTAATTTATCCAATTTTTATTAAATTACCTGTAACTAATCATCCCCCAGTTTTCCGTCCCTGCAGAAGCCCAATCTGGAGAAGCTATATGATCATTTAGAAGGTATGGATGTAAACTCGAATATGGTATACCAAAATATTCATCAAAGTGTTTCGTCAGCTTAACTGCCAGTTCCAAAGCTGGGCCACCTAGTCCAGCAGTGTTTGATCTACCTATAATCCTAATTGGTGGGTTAAAACTTGTATCTTCAGCAATTACTTTGAAAGTCTCGCTTACTAAAAAGGTTACGAGATATGAAGACATTACAGGACTCGGGTAGAAATGGTCTACAATTCGATCCCCTTCAATCCTGAAAAAAAGAGAGTAATATAAAACTACTTTACAAAAGCTAGTATCCGTATTAAAGAAGTTTTATTCGATAAGCTGTGCGCATGAAAATATATAAAAAAAAACATGTGAGTAACATGTAACGTTAAGTGTGATAAATTGAAAATTATTAATAATTTTCTATCATTATCAATAATTACAAAATTTAATGGCAATAGCAAGGAGTAATCATTTCAATCGATGATTTTACTTATTTAACCTAAGTATTGACAAATGTAATAAACTTCCGAAAATATGCATATTTGTGTTTGCAGCTAGGGAGGTAGTAGAAGATGTCAAATGCTTTTCACTCTGCTGTTACGTTGGCGAGTGCTAATTGATGTTAATTCTGTAAAATTCGTTTTTAAGTGCTTTTTTTTTAATATTATTTGGCAAAGAAAATTAAAGGTACCCCACCTTTAATTTTCTTAGTACAAAAAAGAACGATTGATTGGTTGTGTGAACTTGGAACATTGATCAAAACATAATTACAGCAAGCCGTTGCAGCGTCCGGCGCGTCGAGCACCATATGAAAGTAAGCGAGCTATCTCTTTGAATCTTAAAAAATATCAATTCGAGTGTTATTTTGATTTACGATTCTGTTACTGATTATTACTAATATTATTATTATTAATAATATTTGCTAAAAGTATGACATTTAAATTTAATTTTCAACAACTATTTATTTTTCTAATGGGAATGGATAGCTGCCTGGTCCCAAATTTTGTACCAATATCAATATTTAATAAATAGTGGAATCAATTGCTTTCATTGAATTGTCTATTGTAAGTAAGTGGTTTGTGTGTTTCCAAAAAGGTGCTGAAGTAAAACAAAGGTAAATTGAGAAACAAAGATGCAAGAACGCACAACTGTGAAAGCTATTTGATTATTAACTATCAGAAAAGAATCAGCAATAAACTAAAATTTTACTACTTTTGTTAAGTGAATTAAATGAAATAATCATCACAAAACGGAAAGCCTAAAAAAAGGCAAGCGTTTCTTTTTTCTTCGGTCATGATGCTGGGATACTTTTATATAATGTATTATTAATAATAAGAGGTACTTATTAATATTTTATAAATAATAACGCTTGCCGTGACACATACATTTTCGTTAGTTTAAGTAGATTCTATTTGATAATTTTGATTTATCATTTAAAAGCAATCACTCATTAACGTCAACACTTTTCAATATAGATACTAATTAATCATTAAATCGAAAGGATTTGATCGATATCGTGACAAGAAATTAAAAGGTTATCAGAAAATTTATTATTAAGTAAATAAATTATTACTTTAGTTTTGTGTCGAAGTCCCTTTGAATTTTTTTCTAATAATATCAATATTTGATTTTATTTTATATAGTTTATATTAGATTGATTATTAGATTGAAGTCTACATTTAAATAAATATTTTTGTACAGTTACAATTTTTTGAAATTAACATAATTTACTTACGGTTCTGATGATATAATAGCTGTATTGGAAAAAGTGCTGGAATAATTAAATGGTCTCGAAAGATGCAATGTAAATATAGCTTTAAACAGTGGCTCATCCCAACAGGGGAATGCTTGTCGAGCATTATATGGCTGGAAATGAGTTGTAGCGTAAATTCTGTAATAAAAATATATTTCTGCTTTATCTTCAGCATCACCAGTCTATTAATCTTCCCAATGCTGCGGTTCAGGCCTTCCCTATGGATAAAATCGAATGGAATAGGGGAAAATATATTTTATTCAAATATAATTAAATAACAACTCAATATGATTTTTTTTATATTGATAATAACACTGTAATTCATTGGTTTAGATATATGAGAATTATGTTTGACCATGTTGAAAAGAAAAGCCAAGGTAGTCATATTTCTGAGTGTTTTACAATAAGTATATTAATTACATACAGTCCAAACTATTATGAAAAGAAAGTGGATTATTTTAACAAAATTAAAACTTTATAATATTTCAGGGGAAATAATAAAAATACTTCCTAATGAAATCTGCGCCCCTTAAAGACTAATATTTAAACTGGATGAAATAAATATATGACAATATCATATGAATTAAGTCGTTTAAACACTTTTATCGTGGAAATAATGAAGGTACAGTCAATAGTACATCAGATTATTGAGATCTGTCAAATTGATTCACTTAACCCAACCTATTTATCAGAGAGTAGCTATCTCTGTATCTTAAAACCGACCTTAAATATAATTGACTCCGGTTTATGAAAAGTTATTAGTTTACCTTTCAACACCGTCAGCGTCGACGTACCAGCCTCTCCATATTCCCCTTTTTAGAGGACCTTCGTTCATGGTGCTGGAATAACTTATGAACAAAGTATAATTGTCATTTACACTCAAAGTATTGTTGAGGTCGATTTTCAAGAAATGGTACTGCGGTTCTGTGTAGTATCTATTTATTGGTACTTCCGATCCAGATTCAGCGCCACTTACTGTCCGCAAAGTAACATCATTAATGCTATCGACATTGGCATGTAAAACGATCTCACTAACATTTTCTTCTAACACCTGAAAAATGGTTTTATTACAATGAATACTAAAAATCCTCAACCGATAGTTCATATCGCAATAGAACATTCATTTTTTTTATGAAGAAGGCCCTAGTAACATCTAATTAATTGTGAACAACAAAATAAAGTTACAAACCACCAAATGAAATAGTCACGTAAAATAATTATATTTACAACGATTTCTTTTTTGCGTTGTGTCCGTACTGTATTCTTTATCTACCCTGGTTTAAATCGTAATAATATTAAAGCGTATCATTATTATATGAACAAATACCAGGTACATAATATTTTAAGCCCTGACTTCTAAATTAGTTTTGCATTTTCAAGTCAGTTTCTTTTATCCAATGACATTTTCTTAAATAAATAAGTACATAATTATACACTTTGTAAATTAAATAAGCATACCTGAATAAGAATATTTTCTCTCCCTTCATAACTAAACGGCTTGTCGGTATTTTCTTTAAAGAACAAATCTATATAAATGTCGTAATCTAAAGGTTTTACATTTTCTGGTAATCTGTATACCCGTTGTTCATTTCTAGTACTTATTGATCCTAGAGGTACTTCATCGAATTCATTATAAATATCTAATGGATAGTCAGCTTTTGATAATACCATGAGCATGAAGCTCAATAATATAGTATTTAGATACATTATCTGAAATGAGAACATTTATTATCAAAACATTATAAAGCCTTTACAATTCCGTAAATGAAATCTGAGTGAGTATTCAGATTTGAAATATAGGCTCATAACCATTACAACCAATTCAAGTCTTTGAATAACAAGAACCCGAAACAACCATTAAAATCAGAAACAAATAAATTTTGAACAATTTCTACGACAACAGAGATGAATGAGCTGGCATACAAAAAATGATTGTGAACTTCCTGAAGAAATAAAAACTTTATAAAAATGACACATGATTTGATAAAGTTAAGACTCGTGCCACTCTCACTCCTTGGTCATCTATCTTATAATTTGTACTCGTGTACAAATAGTAAGATAGGTGACCAAGGAGATTTTATATTCAAGTAAGCAGTTTCATACAGCTAAGACGATAATGAGAAACGAATATGAAATGGTCTTAAACAAAATATATTTCATCTCACGTACTATTTCTTGTTTTTGATGTAAACATTAGATAAAATTGATAAAAATTAACAAACCTGGGCACTATAATGTGTGTTGTTTGATTAACGATGGAATTTATAAAAATGATTATTAACGTAATGTTAATGTAAAATGATCCAGTGTTGTAAATATTATCGTGAGGATAACCGTATCAGTTTTATTGGCAAATTAAGATTAGATTATTTTATTGGTCATTAACGTCTTAAATTATAGAAATGAGTTATATTATCATAATAATAGGTATATTTTTTAGTCTCCGTACGTAGAAATTAGCAATATGAAAAGGTAGAATTAACATCAAATCCAAAATTTTTAGAAACCTGTTTCCATTATTATTATACCCCGTTGCTGTGACCAACAGACGTATTCTTTAACTCAACTGATCACCGTAAAAAGTGAGCAACTCCAATGTGTCTAAAACACTTAATCGAATTTTCTATTAATGGTTCGTAATTTTGCTGTGGCTATGTCAATATCGGTGATCTCAACTGAACTTGATGTTATATCGATAAACTGTTATATCGTATTCCGCATGCATTTGTTGCCATAAAAAGAACATAAATTAGTGATTTTATCTAAATTAAAAAAAATAATTAGCAACTGGCTAGGGATAAGTGATTTATTAAAAATGAGTTATAGAATACCAAAACCGTGCTCTGCTTGTCCACAGAGCTCGGTGTAGAATTTATTTCGATTGTCTTAAGAAGATATCAGAGTTTCACCGTTTTTTGATTTAATTTCCAATTACTTCTAATTACTCATATCTGTAGTCTATAGTCTATTGTATCGAACTCCGAACAATATTGGCAAAATAGCAGTAAAACAGCCCCAACTCATGAATCGATCTTTACCATTTTTGCCCCATGACAACGCAAGACCTCATACAGCACAAGAAACCATTTTGATCCTTCAGAAATAGCAGTTAGAAACCATTCGTCATCCTCCGTATTCGCCAGACCTTGCTCCAATGGACTAACAATTTTTTCGTGATTTGGACAATTATCTACGAAACAAGAAGTTTTCTTCCTAGGAGGCAGTACAAAATGCTTTCACACAGTTCCAATTAGATGGCAGCAATGTATAGATAGTAAAGGTAACTATTTTGATTAAATACATTTGTTAAAAATAAAAAAATAAACAATTTTGATTTTCAGTACAAATCGGCAATTTCATACTTTAATCCCTATTTTTTCCTGATTAAAAACGGTTGTATCCAAGATTAAGTAGTTAATTGTATAAACCTAACTCAGAATAATTTGTTTATTTTTTAATTCTTAAAGAATATATGATTGTATGTCGACACGCCCTATCATTAATGTGGTAATCTGCATTTTAACGATTTTTGTTTTTTTGTATAAAACCTCATAAAAGGGTGTAAGGAATAATATCACAAAAAAATAATTGTTGATTTTATTATAATTACGAAGATAATTAAGTTATTAATGTCGGTAGTGTCGCTTGTGTACGTACAAAAATGAAGGTACTCACTTACAGTCAATTTTGATCGGACATAACCGACGAGTGGATGTGTCGATTTGTTTGGAGCGCCAAATTGTTGTGAAACATTACATACACTCTGATTTCAAAAGATATAATGTCGGTCGACCGCAAAGAAGCAGATCCTCAAGGATTTTAAGCCTTATTTTACCAAAAAACGCAGTTGTTGAAAATGGTGCATGCATACAGGTAATATTACAAAGTTATTAACTTTATATAAACACTTGCCACTCATATTTTATTAATAAAATAAATTTCAAATTTATAATTTTGTATAGCAAATTATTTCCATTTTTTTGGTATAAAAAACAACGTATCTAGGAAAATTAACAAAATATACTGAGTTTTCCGATCAAAAATTTCATACCTACCATATCCGACTTATTGTACAGAATTTTATACAAAAAAAAAAGTTGGATCTAACACATCCTGCGTAAGATAGTAAAATATGTCCGTGCAAAATAGCTTCACGTGACATTGTAACGTATATAAAGTAAAATAAATTAATCTATTATATATTGTTTAATGTATCGTAGAATAAAAAACACCCATGCCTAATTTCGTTATCCTAACCCTTAAAATATCGTTTTTATTCAACTTTTCATCTTTAAACCACTCTCCTGTAAAGTTGCATATTTGTAGATACTACATTAATGATAGGGCGTCGCGATGTGTGAAATAATAAGAAGACCATATATTTTCAAAGAAAACTCAAGATTCGTAAGCGTTGATCGTCTAGTATAATGGGGACGATATGTAGCATGTCCTAAGAACAGGCAAAGTTCATTGAATTTAATTCAATAATGATTTTTGTTTATGTATATACATAATAAGAAAAAATATTATTTTCCCTATAGATTCTTTAAAGACGTACTATTCATTGCTGAAGGTCGAGTTCGTCATAAAAGCCTTTCCACCCATTCCTGTCTTCAGGCTTTCTCAAAGTGGGCGTAATTGGTAGTTCTGTGATCGAAGTTTTTTGACAGCAGTTTACCCTCCACCATACAGAGTGCAACCAGTTTTTCCAGGTTATTTAGCTCTTTATTGGCTATAAAATATCTATATAATAATAAAATAATATTTGTGTAGTCTAAAAGTACCCTCTTCAAAACATTTCAAACGTATTTAACAGGTTTCACTATAGATGGGCTAGTCTGAATACTTACTACTTCTGAATAGTCAACGTTATCAGTTTGACAAAACTGATACCGTTGACTATTAAAATGGCCAAACTAGGTCATAATCTTAACGTGGCAAAACACTATCACCAACAGTTCTCTTTGCAGAAACCATCACTTACACAATCCTGGAATACAAGAACAGCACACAGGGTACAAATATTTGGCAACCTATCAACTTTTCCTGAAGTTTGTGTGAAGCCTAAGAATTTTCCGCCATTTTGTGCAGAGTTTAAAATATGCTCTATTTTGTAATTCTTATGATTTGTTTAATATTTCAGCGAACAAAAAATGGATTCCAGTTAACTATGCCATAAAATGACTGTTCTCGAAGCGAAAGCGAAAAAGTAACAAGTGCTTAAGGAATTAGCCAGTCCTGTTAGATCTTGGGTAGCTCAATGGTTAGAGCCCAGATTGTACAAAGACCGTGAATTCGAATCCCATCTCAGAGTACCAGATACAAAGTTTTTTTTACATTTTTCATTGAGAATTTTGATAACTTTATACAAAAAACATATTAAAAGTATCTAGTGAAAATTAAATTACCTGTCTTCTGGGTTGTAGATTGCATAGTAAAGCTGTAAAATTTAGTAATTTAGGAACTTATCCTTACCAATTTCTATTATAAATCGAATTATTTTTTCCTCCTATGCCCTAGCATTAGTCCAGAGCTTATTATATCTGTGTTATTTATTATCTCTTTATCCTAAACAATCTAAAGATTCCCTTCATTTGCGGATATCCATAGGATGCAGTGATTAGCGCTTTAGGTCAACAATGCACTAGTAAAGCTCGCACGGGCGACATGTTAAGCCGTTGTTCCAATTGCACTTCCTTACAGATCATTAACACTCAGAAATTTCTATTAGGCTAGGGTGGTTAAGGTCTGTTCTTTTTATTTAATTCCATCCACCAGAAAGAAATGTGGTGCTTCAGTAGTGGGGACAGTTATAGATAATACAGCCCTTCGATTATTCTATAGTTAATATAAAAATACGTTCATATTGGCTAATAGTTCATAAAATGTAGTCCAAATAGTTTAACTTTATTTTATTTTCTTCGATTGTCGATGTTACGTATAGCAATAATATTTATTGTATTATAAAAAATATGGTAACCCAGCCCGCCTCCACTATAAAATGCCAACGAGAGGTATGACGTCTGTCAACGCAAAGCGTTCCAAGTTTTAAAGCACATAGCTATTGGAACTCCAAACTGTTGTTTATTTCATACTATCTATCAGCCAGCGACTTCAACCACCTGGTCCTGTATTGTACATATAAACCTTCTTCTTGATTTTGTTATATCAATATACAAAGAAATAAAAAAAAAAACTGTTGTGCAATTTATAGTTAAGGAGCATGGGCCATGACCCTCTACGCTGGCCCAATGTGGATTGGCGGGTACTAACGACTGCAAATGCAGCCGGGACCAACAGCTTACAGTGCCTTCCGAAGCACGGAGTAGGTCGAGACAAAAATTTTGGTCACCCATCCCGTGACCGACCCTTGCGAAAGTAGCTTAATGACAACGATCGCGTGCCGCGGCGCTTATCCACTATGCCACCGAGCTACTTTATAGTATGTATAAACTGTTGAATTCAGAATAAAATGGAGGTGTCACAGTTATTATGGTCATCAATATTTTATTGTGGAAAAAGAATTTACCATCAAAATTCTTCTTACAAAATGAATGTGTATATATATATATATATATATATATATATATATATATATATATAATATATATATATATATATATATATATATATATATAGGTCACAAAAGACACATAATACACAATTTTTGTATATTTTTTAAATAACTTAATACAATAACAGCTTTATTTGCACTCTACTCACTATGTATTGCTATAATAATACAAAGTAATAACGGTGGTGAAATAATTAAAAGTTTAATATAGCAATAAATCAACTTAATCTATTATATAAAATCAACGTATAAAAGATTTAAACATGATCTGTATATTTTTATTCTTAAAATAAAAAAACATTTTAAAATCACATACAAACAAAATGTAATAGTAACGCCTTAACGTCTCAATATATGGGAAATTAACGCAGTTTTTTTATAACGTACTCAAACTCTGTATTCTGCATGTTACCATTTTAGTGAAAAATGGTTAAGTTCCTCGAAGATATCGCCAATAATATCTGTCATATTATGAAGATCGAAATGTCCGCACAAGACGCTGACTGCACTATTGTTGGTATTTATCGTTGGTTTCAAATTTCTATAAATTATTATAAAATACATCTATGCACACTCCATTATCTCTCCTACGCTATCTTTTTCTCTTTTTATTATGAAAGCAACTCACTTTTTCAAATAATCAAACGTCTGAGACAAAAAAGCCTTAAAGGAGAAATACAGAAGTACGCTTTTTGTTGCTTGCTTTTATTTATTTCCTAAATAGTTACTAACGTGATAAATTCACAACCAAAGCGGTTAGAAGAAGAACCAATGAGGTCGTGATGGCTGTCGCAGAACTCCTCGCTGAGACAGAAGTGTGAATTGCTAATGCGTTTTCACTGCCCCATTGAAGTTGGTTCATAGCTGAAGTGACAACACTCGCGCCAGCCGCGAAACTAGGTCCTAAAGCGATTTGGTTCTGGTTCACCCATGTCCGGAACTGAGGGATAATAAAAAAATGATGAAATTGTGAAACTAAAGTAAAATAAAAGTATCTGTTTAACGTGAACTTATTATAAGTATAAATTTAACGAACACCGTTTCATAAACTATCAAGAATGATAAATCCATAAATTTCCAGTAATTTTAACAAAATCTTATGCGAGTTGTCCTAATATGGAATCTCATTATGAACAAAATGTATATGTATACATTCTATGATCTATTATCTTATATACTACCAAATGCAAACTTACTGTTTCTATGTCTTCAAAATTCGTCAAAAATGCGGCTACATTATTAATATTGATATTCAAACGCTCTGTACCACCATGACTGAAAAACAAACAATAACGTACACAACAAATTCAAAGAAGAAATCAACCGTTTCTACCTATTTTTCTACAAAAGGAATATAATAATATACCAATTTTTTTTTTTATTTCCATTATAAAATGGAATTGAAATGTGTTGTCAGTAATAATGAAACTTTAACTGTTACTTTGGAGAGAATCGTTAACCTGAAATCATTATCTTATAACTGATTTATAATAAATAAAAATTTTTTGAAAAAAAAAAGCACTTTTGAAATACCGAGCAAAGATCAGTCATCCAGGTATTAATTAATCATTATTTCAGTGTCTAATATTCAAGAGATATTTTGATTTATATTTAATATTAATAAATATGGAAGTTGTAATGTAATATTTAATAATGAATTTCAAATAATTCAAAAAGTTTTAGAAATTATTTCATTGACTTGATCGGCTATCTTTAACTGTCTCATACACAGACCTAACATTTAGTTTTGATTTCTTTCAGTTTCTTTCAGCAGTCGTTAGCTGCTACCAATATATATATAAACTATACATAAATAAACTTACGCCTCTCTGATTGCTTCGAAATTTTGGAAAAGAAAATCGAGGACAATGTGTAAGTTTTCTTTGTTCCCTTGCAGAGCGTATGCGAAAGCATTCGTTCTATCATGAAGGCGAATTCTTGTATTGGAAAGAGTCTCGTGAAGATAACTGTAAAATACAATTGTTAAGATCAAAATAATAAATATTTATACGAAAACAGTAAAACATCTACTAGGGGTTAAACGTTTAAAAGACATGGTTTTATCATTATCTTCAGCCTGGAATAATGCTTCCACAGCTGGTACATAGGCAGTTACTAGTGAGCATCACAAAACTGGCAATAAAGCGTATTTAAGTTTGGTCCACGCCGCGTAGCGATACGTTTATACTTATTCATTTGCTCAAATAGAGGGGCCTACTCTCAAATCCCTCTGAAACTTTTTCACGGAAGGAGATACCATATGTATTTCCTTTTTTCAAAAAACAAGTATTTTTTTTTGTACTGCTATTCTATGAAATATTGTTCAAAGTATGTAATCGTATATACATTAACATTACAGCAATAATAATGTTCTTTTCATTTCATTTTACATAACTTACTGGATTAAGGAAGTGTTAGTTCTAGTGCAAGCAAGTGCACGTAGTATGACGACCATATCAGCTGCATTCTCTGAAGTCATGTACTGCTGCATTAGGAACTCGTAGTCTGTATTATCGCCTTCTCTGAGACCAACACAATAGACGTAACGGCGTTGATTCACAGGAACGCTATAACATATAAATAAATATAAACGCAATTTTATTAATACTTTACACTTACACGTTCCCAATACATTAATGTTCAAGTAACATTCATCCATTGATAACAAGAAAATTGTACCAGGAAGGAAAGGAGGATGGTACTCACAGTTATCCCATGAACTTTGCGAAATTATTTCAATGATTCAAAATAATGTTGCGTAAATTTAATAAAGGTACATCATCAACAGCCCTTATATAGCCTGAAGAGTCTCAGGCCATCCTTATGGATAGATAAGGAGGATGGGCCATGACCATCCATGCTGGTCTAATACGCATTGGCGGGTATTAACGACTGCAAAAGCAGCCAGGACCAACGGCTTATCGGAAACTAATCACATAACTCGTTTTTCTGGTTTTGTTAAATTTGAGCAATTTAACAGATAATTATAAACTTACGGGTTAGCAGTAGGGTTGTCTTTGAAACTGTTCCATTTTTGTAGGCTGTTGCTAACACAGCCAGCATGACCCAAATTGCAGGCCAGGTTCATGATTTGCATGCGATTTAAAATAGTCGACGTAGAATCAGTGCTCGCCTCTTCGAATCCAAGATGATTAATAACCGTGTTCATATGGTGCAACATATATCTCTGAAAAAAGAAATATACACTATTAATTCAATAAAATAAGATTTTAATGGGACAAAATTTAAAAAATTAAGCCGTCTTAAAATTAAATGACCTTTCGATGAGCTGATAATTCTGCTAATGTTTACGTAAATTGCATTTCAATAGAATCTCAACGAGTTAATACAAGGTGACATACAATACTTATACGTATAAATTGTAAAAATATGGCAGTGCCGTATTGTTGAACTTACCGTGAACATTTCGTGACCATTGGGTAAATGTTCTAGTCTACTTCTGATCCAACCAAGCTGACCAAGAGCGCTAGCCCAAACATAATAGTCAGTCTCAAATCTCAGGAATAATAATACATCAAAAGCGCGATCAATGTTAATCTTCCCAGCTCTGATGAAATAAAGGACATCATTGACGATCTGAAACGAAGGAATGCTTAACAACAAACGAATATAACTTTTACGAAAGTTCGATGCTTTATAGGTACTTATACTTTTAAGATAAAATAATGAAATTCGAATATTTAAATAAGAATTTTCAATTATTCAGTACTAAGATATTATTTACTGTGAAAACAGTTTATTTATAATGACCACAAACAAAATCCATCATAATAATGATAATATCATTTGATATAGCCATTGATACATCGAAGAATGATTACATATAACTCGTACAAAACAGGTCCTATTCCTTATCCTCAAACGCATAATTTCGAAGCGTTCTTCTAATTTTGTTAAATTAATATCCGTGAAGATTATTTGTGCATCAGAGGCAGTGCTTATTTGCATCATAAATAATTGATAAACGCGTGTTTTGGTGCCGTATTAGCATTTCGAAAAGACGATATTTAGGTTTCGGAGACATAGAATTGGCCTTTAGGTGTCTTGTTAATTCGTACAAGTGGTAATTAAATTTTCAAAGGTATACCTGGGCTCTATTCAATTTGTGCACGGCTAATCTGTTGTTGTTGTTTTGCCTAAGGAAAGCAGCAATCATTTCCCAGTTGTGATCATCATAATTTACACGATAAAGACCTGCAGACGAAAGAACAAACCAAATAATAATTGAATAAAAAGTTATATGATATACATACTGTAGCTTACAGGAGCTTACAGGAGAATAATTAGATATCATTTTAGTATTTAATTTCGTATTAGCGATAGGAAAAACCCAAATTATATTTAGAAATATTTTAAATTGATTACTTAAGCGAGTAAAAAAAATTTCGGGTAAATAGCGAATAAATAGCGATGATGCCATAGCGCTATAATGACGGAATTTTTGAGCAACAGACGTGAAATTTGGAAGGTTGATAATACCTGATCGCGCAATATTGAGGATTACGAAATTGTGACCAGGAGTATTCTGTATTGTGTGCGAATCGCCACTAAAAATGAAACTAGGCCTTGTATCCTGGAAGTTGAACTGTCCACTGTGGGTCCATGTGATCGGAATGTGCCAACGATGTGCTGGTGGTGTATTCCCCGACACAAGGAATCTTTCCTGTAGCATAAAGACACATTTATTATTTAAATCTAAATAAAAATTGAAATAAAAGTATAATTAATGCACAAAAGCTTCCTCAAACTAAGATGAACTTAATAAATAAGCAAAATATTTGTATTTACTATAATATTTTATATCATATCAAAAAACTTTCTATATTTATAAATGGTTACGAACCTGAGTTAAAGTAATAAGACCAGAGGTCATATTAACGTGTACATTTACAACAGGCGAACCAGGATTCTGTACCCAGTTATCGAGAATTTCACCAATATCCACATCTGGGAAAAGACTCCGGAAAGTCATATCTTCTGAAGCTGCTCTTCTTAAACCAGTGTATAGTTTTTCGGGTGTGCCTAGAGCGTAAGCACTAAAATAAATTATTATTTATATTAGTTCAGAAATGTTAGTGTTATCGTATAATTACTTGAAGATGTTTAAATTTGGTTTTAACAAGTCCCAAAATATATTAATATTTTAACAATAATAAAAAAATGTACTTACTTATCTCTCAAATAGTATCTTAATCCCATTCTGAAAGCGCGTGGACCTAGAAAATGTTCCATCATTCTCAATACTGAAGCTCCTTTAGCATAGCTAGTGACACTAAAGTGAGAAGAAATTGAAGGATTGCTAGCAACATAAGACCAATTCATAGGAGTTGCGCCGTCACCAGCATCCCAATTTAATGCACTATGCACTTGATCCACGACAAACTGGTCATCTAATTCCATTGAAGGATCAGCCTATAAAGTAAATAATACAATCAAAAATATGATATTAAAAATGATAATAACGTTTTTTGCATTTTGATAAGGTACCCACTTCATGAGCACTGAAATATTCAAAAAGGCTGGCGAAGGACTCGTTGAGCCAAAGGTTGCTCCACCAGAAACAAGTAACTAGATTCCCGAACCATTTGTGTGCCAGCTCGTGAGCCATAATGGTGGCAATGAAGATCTTGTTGATGAGGTTTGTGTTGTTCTTGTCATATAAAAGGTAGGCTTCCCTGGTGATAAATATCATTGATTAGGAACGCATCGACCAAACAACTAAATCTAAGGTCGTTGATTTTAAATAGGTAAATATCAAATGTAGAATAGGGCACATGGACATATTTTTACTTATTCTTATGCAATTTTGCTATAGCTTGAAATAAATATCTTTTTCAATGTGATGGTGATATAGTAGTAAAATGTTAAAAAATTAATCAACCCCAGGTTTACCAGCATCGCATTTTGAATGCAAAATTGATAAAATACAATAATTAGTGCTATTATGTTAGTCCACTTATAATTATAGTAACTTACATTATAATAGCATCATGGTAAGAATAAGACTAATTGCTTACAATTGTTAGATATATTAAATCGTTTCACTGAATTAAAAATTAACTAATCAATAACAATTATGTTTGAGAAAACGACATATTTTAACAACTATTTACCTGTAATTAACCATACCCCAGTTTTCCATAGCACCAGCTGGAAAATCTGGTATGGCTAAATGATCATTTTTCATGGGCTGTCCTTGACCCATTTCATAATACTCGATGCCAAAGTAATCATCCATTACATCGGTTATGGCCAATCCGATTTCAGCAGCAAATGGATGCTGGTCAGTTACTCCTGGACGTGAGACAATTCCAAAAGGTCTTGTTGCCGTAGTGGTGTAATTAGTTTCCACGAAATCACTGACAGTAAATGCAACGAGATAGGCAGACACTATTGGAGTTGGACGGAACGTTTCACGAATTCGACCACCACCCCTTAAAGAAAAAACATATATAAAGTAATTTTATTTATAAAGAAATTAAAAAGAGATATAATGCAAATATCGAAGCAAATTTATTATAACTGATAAATTGAACTTAATTTCGGAACAACTTAAAATTTACATATATTACTTCTGGAGTACATTAATTTTTAATAAAACATATGTAAGTATTATTATCGTCATTTTGTATTATTACAATAATAATTTTGTTTATTGATCGTTAAAATCTTATGTTACAGAAAAATATATAATTTTTAGTATTTTTTTTATGATATTTCCGATATGATTTGCTTACACGTCTGTAGTTGTTTCAATAGCCATGTTTGAATAAGAGGGGCTGAGAGTGGAGTCACGGGTAATAGAGATGATGAATCTTGATTTGAACTGTGGCTCATCAAAACATGGGAAAGCCATTCTTGCATAGTAAGGTTGAAATTGCGTAGTGGCATAATAACTGTAAATAAACGATTATTAATAGGTTATTATATGGATAATATATTATGGATAATAATATATTATACACTATATTATTGTCCATGAATCACACTATACACATCAAATATTATATTAAATAAAAACTAAATAAATATTTTCTGAATGTGTAAGTAACCTTTATAAAGTGACGATAAATGCCCATGGTGTGCGAAGCGCGTCTCGTAAGAAATACTATCGCATACATATATCGCATACATACATATAGAGTGCTATACCTACCGCGCACCAACGAGTACAAAATTCTACCTGAAGCGTGATGATTTTCATTGAATTTTTATATTAAGGACACCGAAAATTACTCGCTACTTATTAATTATTCAAAATTTCTAAACTACAGACAACGTTAATAGTAACAAACACTCACCGCGTTTCATTGTTCAAGAAATAATGTCCTCTGTAGAAACCTCTTTCAAACTGGTTTAGATTGATAGCGCCTTGGTAGCGGATTGTTATGCTATAATTTCCAAGATCAATAGGACTAGCTAGATTGATGATGAGAATCTCATAATAGTCATCGGTAGTAAAAGGATTAGGGAACTGAAGATTAACAGGTCTGCCTTGGTCATCAACTATGTTCACTGATTGTATTGATACCACTTTTTGGTGCAGAGCAATTTGATTTAAATTGGGTTGAATGGTCTGAAAAATATTTGATTAAATTAAAATATCTTTGTGGATATTAATTCCTTGTTTACAATATTAGTAATTTTGAAGGTACATAATTTATATTTGAAGGCAACTTAATTTATGCAACTACAGTAAAACATTACATTTGCTAAGAATATTCCCATTAATAAATAAATATCTTTTAAGAAATTTTACTTTAATGACATTATGATTTTTCGATACTAATCTATGATAAAATCACATATCTTCTGGAAATTAACTGACCGAATGAAATAAATCGTCAGATAAGAAACAGACTAGCCAGTGATAACAAAATATCTTGTAAAGATCTAACTTTGATTAGGAAAGTGAGTTAACTAAATCCGATTTATATGTATTAAAGTTTTATTTTAAATTTGTTCACATATATTTATGAAAATTGACGAAAGCACCCTGATATGTGTTTCATCGACGATTTTCTAAATTCTTGATTTCATTCCGGCCGATAAAACATAAGCATGTGTTTTCTATAATGGTCTGGGTTGTTATAATAATTCATTATTTTAGATTTCATAAAAATGTTACTTATGTTGTTTTTGTACTTAAAACCTCCGCAGAATTTAAAGCTGCTATCATTAGAAGTTTGATTATGATAATATAGAAAAATCTATTTAACCGTCACGTATTTAAGTTGTTTGCTATTTGAATTTGTATGGTAAAAGAATCAGCCAACTCTTTCGCAATCACGACCAATCCCGGGTAAGCGACACTTTAATAGGTTTCTTTTTTATTTTTAGAATAATAAAAGCGACAACAATTTAAGTGTATATATGTGGTGTTAACTCACTTCTTAGGCAGAAAAGGGAGGGATTTGGTATAAGATTAATTTTATTTCTCACCTCAACATCCAATTGCACGATGCCGTTAAATCTAGCTTCTTCTAAATATACATCTAAATCTACAGAAATTTGTTTCGGCTGCACAGCCTCAGTCAAGCGGTATTTAGGATCAAATAGGTTGGTGTTAAATCCTTCGATATCAGAATCTGCCATCAAGTCTATTTCCGGGGGAACGGCCAATACCCCCAGAAAGAGACTAGCAAATATCGGGAACAACATCATGTACCCTAAAGAAAAACAAAAACAATTTACCAAATAGTAAAATATTGTATACATATATATAATATATGAATCTGGTGTTATCTAAAATCCAGTTGCGACAAATGCTTAAGATAAAAATTCATAGGACGAATATAGAATAACTCCGTAACAAATATCATTTAGTTTCATACGCGTGTTATTAATTAGGTGCTGATAAAAAATATATTACTGATATTTTTTTTACAGTGTCACTTTTTATCTGAGTCAAAACGGCGATTTGATATCCTTTGAAATTCGTTTACTGATATGATATCGGAATCTTTAGATAACTAGTAACATTAATCACTTTTGAATACAGGTAAATAATTCGTCCTTTTCTCGACAATCTAATTTAACCTAAACCAATTTAGACATATGTATGTACATCATCATCAGCTTATTAATGTTCTGACTGTTAGAAACTTCCGCATCACGCATGCTCATATCAACTGGCGGTTATTAACGACCTCAGATACAACTGGAACCAAGGAATTCAAGTGCCTTAAAGAGGTCGATTTTTTATTGGATGGAAAACCTGAAGCCCTTTGGAAAAAAAATTCATAATAACAGCATTCCGAATAAATCGCAGACGAAATAAATGAACTAACCACCGAGCGATGTAGCTATTTATTTACTATATAGATTTCGATAACGTGTAATTTTTTTTCATCGCATCGATAAAATTATTTCGTATCTTATCGAGACTGAAATTATTTTTTATTATAATGAACAAGTTGCACCTTCATAAAAACTAACCATTTGAATAAGGATTTTATGGTTACCATCTTTATTAAAAGTAACTAAAATTTTGAAGTTTTTCCTATTATCAACTTGAGATTACGACATATAGACATCTTATGCGAAGAACATAGTGACCATCAGCAAAACATCAGATAAAATACCCAAAAGATCTGGTGAGTAAGATATGACCACATAGGATGTTAGTAACATGACAAGAAAGCTGTTCTGATCAATTAATTAAAAATTGTATTTCATTTTTGTTATTAGAAAAATTATCTCGACTATTTTTATATAAAATTGTGATATTCTCAGCGAACTCCTTCATTTGATACCTTTACTAAGCAATTGCTAAGTCATCTTATGTAGTATGCCATTCTGAATTAAGAAAGAAGTCGTGTTAATATTTTAGTATTTTTCTTAGCAAACCTTATTTACTCTTATCAATACACAAAAAAATAACAAGGTCGCCATCTTAGGTCGTCCACAATATTAAATTAAAATAGTGAAAGCTTAACTTACCATGCATTGTAATCTAAACTAAGTCCGTATGCAAAATTTCAGCTTAATAGGTTTAGGAGTATTTTAAAATTCACTTTCAAGATTTGACGTAATGTAACGTCAAATCTTGAAAGTGAGTTTTAAAGCACTCCTGAACCTATTAAGCTGAAAATTGAATCAACAAGTTGCAACAAATAAGCAAGTTGAATAAAGCTTGCAAAATGAATCGGTACATGTGCTAAAAGCTCAAAACTCGAGATCGAGAAGTTCTTATGGGCAGTAATTATTACAAATTGTGAGGAAAGTAGTAAAAATAAAACAACACACAAACAGGGCGATACAAATTTTGGCGATTCGCCTGTTAAATAAACAACTTCACATCATATTAACAAACTATCAACGTTGTCTAGTTAATTTTTTACCTTTTACGAATTTGACTGAGCTTTTATATTTGACTTTTTGTGGGAAGGAAGTTAAATTCTGTAGTCGATTAATCAGTTTACCACATAATATGGCTGTTTTCTATATGTAAATAGGTAGTACATAAAATTATGCCAGCGATATTTTTAGTCAGAAGAAGAGTGTTTATTATAAGTTACGAATATGAACACTTACCCATAGTGGTCTAGGCAGCACCAAACGACCAACTAAGGACATATTTTATTTATCGATTTTGTATATTTATCATTTATCGCTTAATTATTCGATATAAGCCACAATTATCTGGACTGACTCATATCTGTTAACAATCATCGATAAGTTATCTATCCCACGTATTTTTTTATTAAACATATCCTTTGGTATTTTATAGGCTTTACAATTTAATATCGATTTTAAATGTGTGATATTCTTTTGAGATGTAACTTTCATGATTTAGTTAGATATCGCGGTGGTTAGCGCGTTCAGTTTACATAATGGAAATCAAGCAGCTTTCATAGGGGTATAGGATGGGTGATCAAAACATTATTATCTCGAGCCTCTCCTTGCTTCGAAAGGCACGTTAAATCGTTGGTATCGGCTGCATGTGTAGTCGTTAATACTTGCCAATCCACACTTCGCCTATATGACGGGTTATTTCTGTGTAATCGCCATGGCTGTATGTACTTTTGTTGTATGTATTTTATTGTGCGTCGGGGAAATATTTTATTCACTGCCTGTTGCCTAGCAAGTAAGCGTTCCACGCCATGATCGGAGTAGCCATTCGGCTCGGTTCAATATGAGTCCGCTAGCTTAAGTGAGACTCTGTGAGGCTTGGCTGGCTCGGCTAGGCTCGGATTAAAGTGCACGCTTTCATTGACAGAGGGGGTGTTACGTAACGTTCAGCCAATACATTAGTGATTCGTTATCATGACAAGCGCCAACTCACCTTTACTTCTTATTGAAAAATGCAAAACATAACTTTAGAGGTTAATTCACCAACAGAGCTTAGACACGTTTTTGGATCTTTTCAATGTAAGTTTAATTATTCTTAAATTCTTCAATTACCAATGGAACATTGGGATTTTACCTTATGTTATCACTTATTATCGAAGTTCAATTCGAAAATTTTGAACAAGCTAACCCAACGTCTGAATTACCCAGCTATACTAAGTTAAAATAATTTCTCAAAGCTCAATGTGACGCACTTTTACGAGATAACCATTTTCAGGTATCCGTGATGCGTACGCTGGAGTTTGCGTCCACTCGTTCTAATAGCTATTTTAAGAATTTTGTTAAGTCAAATAATAATATTAAAAAATAACTTTCTATTGTTTAATTCAGAGAAGACAACAAGCAGGCTATTTGCTCTCAAGTCTTCTGCTCCTTCTGTTACTTTGCCCAAGGTAACTTGTTGCGTATGTGCCTGTGTGCGCTCTGCCTGTTCAGACATTGATTTCCTTTCACATTGCAAGTTATTTTCCGGAAATCGTGTTTTTACTGTTTGCGGTCGTCACATGTCATCAGATGTCATCAAAAGTATCAGATGCTCCTTTATCTGGACAATGATGTGAATTCTTCTGAACAAAATACATCAAATTGTTGTTGTTATCATCATGTACGGTGAATGGAATGGTAGATTTGTTGAATCGGGATATATTATCATTATTTAATATTCATGCCCCTCTAAAATGTTGCAGAATCAAAGAACAATCGCCGCCGTGGATAACGGAGAATATTAAGTTAATGATGAAACTGCGGGATGAGTCGTTATCTGAGTATCGTAAAAAGAAAACTGATTCTAGTAGAGACTATTATAAACAGTAAGGCATTGGTAATATCATCTTTACATAATGAGAAAATTGCTTATTTCCGTCATAGTGTAAATGATAAGATTCATGATCCCAAGTCTCTGTGGAGTAGTCTTAAAAGCACAATATTAATAAATGATCAGGTAACAGACTTGCCATCTCACTTTAACGATGCAGATGCTATTAATTCGCACTTTATTGATTTACTGGGGAACTTGCAGATAACTATAGGTATCTAACATGACTTTCTATGAATTCTATAGATTCAGTATTCTCAATTGAAACCGTTACACACACGGTCCAAGATCCAACGCCATAGGAATTGATAACCTTACTTTAAATATGATAGTTATGATGTTGCCCTACTGTTTGGTTAATATATGTCAAATAATGAATTCGTCAATATCTACTTCTACGTTTCCAGATCTCTGGAAAATTGCTATAGTGCGACCTTTAGCAAAAGTTAACAACCTTACACAGTTTAAATATTTACGTCTAATTAGCATCCTTCCCTGTCCCTCTAAAGTTTTAGAGAGAATAGTTCGTCAGCAACTTACAATTTATCTTGAACATAATGATATTTTCCCAGTGTTTCAATCTGGTTTCCGCAAAAGGCGAAATACTACTACGGCTTTGATTGATGTGACAGATAACATTCTAACCGACCAAGAGCGTGGGTTGTATACGTTGATGGTGCTGCTCGACTCTATAAATGTGCCATTGTTGCTCTAAGATGAGATTCTACGGGTTCCATCACCGTACCCTGTTGTGGTTTGATAGCTGCCGACAATGTCCACTACTTGTGCTTGGTTCGGTGTCCAGAGATATAGCCGGGTCACCATTTCGAGAGGTTTGTTACATGCCTATACTACCACGAACGAGCTTACGTCGCTTATTCTAATAATTTACACAATAAAATATTATAATTGTGTAATTGCGAATTCAGCATTATGGAACATCGGTCTACGACATGTGACTGCTGAGTCGACGCCTCGTGCTTCGCGCTTCGATGTCACCATCGCAGTTTTAGAACATTCATTCTCGGTACCTACTTCGTCCGAACCTAACATAAGTTTTAGATTTAATAAAATACTTTGTAACATTATTTTAATAAATAATTATAATTAAATCGGTTTTTTTTCGATCCTCTGGCCGCAGCCTTCGTAATTGGCGCAGTCGGTAGGATTTTCGAAGCAGTGCGCGTTCGATTCCGGTCTCCAAAAATCGTTGTCCATTCGCCCCGCGTGGCTGCTCGCGCTATCAAGCCCTTATCGAAAATCCGAACCACGAGGACGCAGCCCAAGGAGGAAGTATCCAGACATTGATACACAGAGAAAAGCCGTAATGATACTGTAAGTACATGAGAATTTTTACTCGTGTTGCTTCCTTGTAGTTTTATAGTACTTACTTATATATATTATATATAATCATTCAAAATTTTCCACCCAAGGAAACCTAAAGAGGATCTTTCCTCTCGTAAGTGTAGGCATAAAATATTAGATAAGTGTAGACAAGTTAAATCT